TGGCAGTTGAGTGCATTACTTGTTGTTTGCTTCAAAACAATTGTACCTGCTTCTTCCAGGTCTGTCTGAAACTCTCCAAAATTAGTATTTGCCTCTTGGACAATTCTTCTGCTAATTCTTTTCACTCCTCTGTTAGAAATCTTGCGAGAGGCACCTGGTCGTGGTTGCTTTATGGCGAAATGATTTTTCCTGTTCTGCATTATGGCCCAAACAGTTTTCACTGGAACTGGAAGGTCTTGAGAAAGCTGTTTCCTTTTACCCATCATGAGATGTTTCTTGTTTGATACCAGAGACACCTTTTTATTGGCCATCGATTGGGACTGAATCAGCTTATATTAATTTGCACTGAAAAGTTGCAGGATTGCTTTCTAATTACAGGGATACGTTGGCTGGTGTATTGGCTTTCCATGCCCTTTTGCGCCTCCCTTTCTTCACGTGTTCAATACTTTTCCCCATGCCAATTCAATCTATTACACATCACTTAAATTCTTGAAATTTATGGTTTGATTTCTTTGTATGTGTTGATTACATGGATCATTACCAACATCTGGTGAAAATGTCATCAATTGCATCTCTAGAAATATATTTACTGAGAAAAATGGTGCTGTGTTCTATACTTATTTTACCTGTTGCACTAATAAAAAAATATTCCAATCTTATTTTGTGCATTTCTACTGCTGGCACCTGAGCAACATTTTCTGTTGTTTTTGGGTTTGTTTTTTTTCTATACTTTGCCATAATTGTTGGGTCATCAAAAATATCCAATTCAAAATTGTCCATTTGCAGAAACACCAGCTTCAAAATTCTGGGATGGTTTTCATCGACTTTAGTACATATGTTTATAGAGATTCTTTTATCTTTCTTCCACAGGTGAATTCTGGAGGTCAAATGCGGATGTTTGATAAGTCCTAGCTTACATTTAATCTGTCATAAGCCAGAGCGATAGGTGTAGTTCATTTTGAATTCTACACGTATCCATCTGGTGTTCGTAAGAGGGAGGGTGGCAGCACATTTCTTTGAGCTGATTGGGTAACATACCTCCCCTCTCAAGCTTATAGTCAATCACAACAGCAGTAGCAGCTGTGCCGTATCACATCCTCGATTTGTCTCACAGCTAGCAGTTAACTGATAAATCAAACTTGCCAAATGCAATGAAAAGGAAGGCTGAATCATCTTTTCCTTCCACATAGGCGCATTTTGTGTCCTTTTGCTCACTTAAAAAAAAGAAATAGATGATATTTCAGCTAAAACCAGTGCAGCCATGTTTTTTTTTTTACTTCAGTCCCCTACCTCTGGTTGACGTGTTGACATCATACACGTCACTGCATTTCATGTATTTTCGGGAGTTTGTAATGTCAGAAATCTAGCAACAATGATGTCCCCCAATGGCCTGTCTGGAACCAAATGATACCAGTGATAGTTGTAAATAATATCTGAGACATTGATAGAGAAAACGCCTGGACACCCTCAGGAAATACTCACTTAAATACTGTTTTATATTACTTGCTTTTAAACTTGAACTTGTATAAGATAAAAACCTGTATCTGTACCATTATTTGATATAGGTCCATATTTTTGGCCATTTATTTATAGTGACTCAACGGAGAGTCGCTGACTACAGCGAACTATGACCCCACTATGCTTCCTTCCACTTTGTAGTTGAGCTGCTGTTGTTTCTCCTTTGTTAGAATTAGGAGTGGATTCAGGGGAGGGGCCAGTCATTGTCAAACCCTGTGGCCACCTCTGCAAGATTATTTGTTGTTCCCATATGGACATAATTACTGCGAAACAGCAGTCCCCCACTAGTACAGTAAATAATCATCTCAAATGGACTCTCCTAACTATTTAGACATGCTACCTGTTAGTTTATTGGCCATAAACATAACAAAAATGTGTATTAATGATTATTCATATCAATATACTGACTTTAAAGTTGACAAATACAGAATTCATTCTGTTTTAAGAATTAGTTTTTGTGTTTTATGGGGCAGGAGGCAGAGGATTTTGTCTCTGCAAGTCATCAACAGTCATATATGTAATAAGACATAAACAACTATATCTATTTTATGTATTAATGCATGTTAATATCATGCAGAACCACAATCCAGAAGTCACTTTTTGACTCGATGTTGATGTACAAGATCAACATTCCTGCCATTCTGCCAAAACAAATCTCCCAGATTCACTTGCTCTTTTTTTTTTTCTTCTAAGTCATTCCTATTCTTGTCATAAACTTGTATGAAATGTGGCCTCTTTAGACTTTCAGCCATTTTCAGAGAACAGGAGGAGAGCAGTGGAACTATATGTAACCAGTTACAGGTATGAAAATGATTTAAATATGAACATCACCTTATGCACAGCTTTCTATCAGCAAGTTTAATTAGCTTTAGCTGTAGAAAATGTATCTTTGCACGTTTAACATACATTATTTTATGAGCTTGGAAGTTCACAGATTTATTTATTCTAAAATATTCCAGAATTCAGCTGTTAGAATTCACAGAACTGTAGAACTAAGTTAAAAGTTCAGGTAAAAGGAAAAATGCTGAAAGCCATGAACCCAAAATGAAAACCATAGTGTAATATCTCAAGATAGTAAAATTTTAAAATAAGAATTTATATATTTTTTTGCTGTCTATATGTCTTTTTGCATTTTTCTAGAAGGGTCTATTAGTACCAGTGGAGGAAGAAAATAGGCAACAAGACTTGAAATATTTTAACTTACAACTTCAAATACACTTAAAGTAACATTGTGTTCAGAAGTCAACTAATCAGTAAGCATAGATTCCAATCTTAGATCTGGTCTTATTGTCTTGTCCCTGATGTAATACAGCATTGTCCTCCATTTAACACATATAACTCCATTTTTCATTTCATTTAATCTTGTGTATTCTAATCTAAGAATTAATGCAGCAGTTCTGTGACGACCACATAGGTTTGTTTGAGAACATTAGTGAACATTGAATCATGAGGATCAAAACTCACAAAAATATTTCACCCAACTTCTAAAATTTATATAATTTTATTACATAAGAAATTCCCTTGTTCTTGTTTTAGATCATTTTAACACAAACCTAATAAATAAACCTCATGTGATTTATATTAATATGTAAAAAAAGAAGAAAAGCTTATTAATTTCAATATAAATAATCATATGTATGTAGTATTTATAAAGAATACATGCTTAGAATAAAAAATAATTAGTTTATTATACATAGTTTATTATTTGAAATGCATAAAAGGGACCCTGATTATTACGCATATGAAACAATAGACTTTATGTATTTGAAATTTAAAAAAAACAAAAATCAAAGACACCTCAGTACATAATGTAATAGACTTGGAGGAAAACAAACCTAACATACAGCCAGAGCTACAGTAAAACTATTTCAATCAAAATTGTCCTTGTTTTAAATACTAGACATGTTGACATGTAATCTACATCCATTCTGAATGAGGGTGAGCTATGTTTAAAAACAACAAATATTGTTAAAAACCATGTATCATTTTTCTTTCCCTTCAAAATGACATTTAGGTGGTCTGTCACTTGAAATACATTGAAGTCTTTAATATGAAAATAGGAAAAAAAATACTCGTTGAATATTTTACAAAGAACTGACCTTATACCTACTTTTCCTGCCTTTCCTTCCTATTTGTCGCCTTATAAATGGAATAAGAACAGGAAACCAAAGGGGCCTCTTTGTTTTTTTATCCTACATCTTCACTGTGTTCTCTGCCAGCATTTGCTAATACTCTGGACACACCTGGCATATTACACAGGCTTATATCCTGCTCCTCAACACCTTGCAAATGTGCTGATCCAGGCTCCCATTGTATAGTGTTTTCTCTGACTGTATGGCCTTCTGTGCTCAGATGTAATTAAATCCTAATCCTCCTGCTGACAAAAGCAGAGGTAGACTTCATTCATTTGGCAGCTGAGAATGCTGGATGGATAAGCACTAAAAAGCTAGAAGTAACACTGGGTTCCTATAATCATGTCCATGTGAAGCCTGGAGTTTTATTTTATCTTTTTTTTCCCTAATAGTTGATGATGCATAGTCATTCAGCAGAGGTCAGCAGATAGTTTTAGAACAAATGATGGTCATTGCAGAAGAAACACAGTCTCAATCAGTGTGTCTAAAAGAAATATATGTTCTAAAACAAATACAGTTTTCCAGAGCTTCAAAACCACAGTAAGCAAATCATGCTAACAACCACACTGCAGCACAATAGAAAATAGTTGTCCAAAAAGAACAAGTTCTTATAACCTCCCTATGGTAGGTCCAACCATAATTTGCACAGTTTCATGCTCTTTTTGATGAAGTGACCAATGTAGTGTTTTAGGTCTCTTTATATACATAAACACAGGGTGCCCTGGTGTTCTCATGTGAACATGCTGACTCAAGCCTTAAACCACAGCATCGCTGTAACAGCTGCACATTAGGCCACATGTTTATGTAGCCATGAGAGCTTAGTAGGTGTGTGTGAGCTCCAAAGGCATCAGGTCAGTGACTAACCAAACCTCCTACTGTAAGTAAAGATGGGAACAGAGGGGGCGAATGAACGAGAATTTCCCACTAGTAGCAAGTTGCGTTCCCAACTATTTGGTGGCATGAATGCTGCCGATCTTTGTATGACATTTGTGGTTTTTGAATCCAGCAATATGAATGTTTTCTGCTGTGCTGGAAAAATACAAGTTGTTAGGAGCAAGTATTTGCAGTTCTGTTTTCGTTAACATTCCAGATCATAAGGAAGCACCTCAGAGTACCAACAGGAAGTCACCTAGAATTTCAATCAATTGATTGTCAGTCTCTGAGTTGACCCGTGGTTCTTTTCCAGACACTGGCTGTTGAAATTTAAAGCTAAGAGTCTTACTAAAAGGCAGCAGAGACTCTTGGTCTACTTTTACAAGGGTCATACTCTCTCATGAAATTTGTTTTTTGTTTCGTTTACAAGTTAAAGTATTCAAAATATATTACTAAAATAATAGCACTAAACAAAGGATTGATATTATTAAAAAAATACTTTTTTTCCTTAAATATTGGGCCTCATTCTATAGTATCTAGATAGGAAATAGGGCCAATAAATAAGGGAAGACATGCAGGAAATGGGCCATGCCTGTTAATCAGCACTAGACAACAGCATTGAGGATTGTAGCCTCAGTATAAGCTGCAGCTGCTCTAACAATGAGCTGCATGACACTCGAAGAACGTCTATTTCATCTCGTCCAGCAGTTTTACAATTCTGTAGATCCCTGAAAGAGATAAAAAATATATTTGTACAAGCATATACAGTATATCACCAGTGTGTAAAAAATTTATCTCACAAATTACTGTTTGATGCAGTAGTAATAAAGTAAGAAAAATTAAGTCATAAATTTCAAATTCCAAAAATATATTCACTTTATGCTTGGACAAGGTTTGGACAGTTGGACAAAAAATATTAAGGATCACATAGTGCGACTTGGGAATAAATGTGGCAGAGAATCCTGTTTTACCTGCGTAATGCAAAAGCTCTGGGTATATCACAAAGTCTTTCAGTAATCTACTTTTCGGTTCCTAGACCCAAACAAAAACTCAAATAGCAGCAGTCACCACCTCATTAAGAAGATAGATATAGTCCATTTAGTGAATTTTGGGTTTGCCATCAGTTGTTTTCACTGCTGAAAGCCAAACCTCCAAATGTAATAGGCCAAAAGACACATTTTTTTAATCCCAGAGGCCCTCAGCTTTGCTTACATCACAGTAAACAAAAATAAGTCAATGACTTTCTCCCTCCAACCATTTAGGTGGAGATAAAATGCTTAAAGTGGGTTTACTTCCACACAGAAAGTTGCAGATATCACACAGATCCATACATGCCAGTAGAAGTAGGCACTTTTTCACACAACAGTAACAGCAAAGCCTTGCAACATCGGACTCTGGAAAAGCAAGCTTTCGAGGTCTAGAAAACAATTAAACCCTGGAATGACACACTGTATGTGTGGGGCCAGTGCTGAGGAAAATATAAACAAAATAAGGAGGAATTATAAAACGATAGCTCTGTTAGGATCAGCTCTTAAGACTGGGCAGAGCAGTGCCAGCATTTCTGCTGAATAATCCCCAATCTAACTAACCATCTGCAGCTCTATCCTATCTTCGCTTTTATTTGAGGCAGTGACTGACTCTCAACAAAGAGGTCACAGTGCCTTGTTTTCTGGTTTAAAACATCTGCATCAAACTTAGTGGAATTGATCCATGTCGACAAACTACTTCAGAAGACAAGAGGATGCCAACAGAAAGGAAAGAGAAGACCCTGGGCTCCCCAAACCAGTAATCCCACTCTCTAATGGTGATTCATATAAAATTCCTATACAAACCGCACAGGGAAGCGGCCAGTGGTGAATCCCACACAGTGAGATCATTCACTGCTTCGCCCCCTTACCTCGTGCTACTTGATAGAAATTGAGGTGCATGGAGAGAGCAGAGCCATGATTGCTGAAGTTTAAATGACTTTTCTGTGAAATCACAACAAGGCAACCAATCAAGGACTGGCTATAATCAAAGATCATTTCACTTAAAATGGAATACACAGAATCTAATCAAAAGTTTCGGTAGCTTTAAAACAAAGTTGTTTTAATTTAGTCCAAGAAGGACTGTTCATTATCCTCCCTTACCTCCAGCACAGACCCCAGTCTGTCGCTGCCCACTACCCAGCGTTGGGGCTTTCTGCATGGGTAGAATTACAAAGAGGTACCACTGAATCTACTTCCATCTCTACACCTGCTGAGACGCATTTCTCCCCCTTACTCCTCGCTATCTCTTAGCCATGACAGAAAAATAGACAAAGCTAGCTTTAATTCAAGGAATCTCTACTTGGACTAATTATTAAACATTTTGATCACACTGCAGAGAAGGACAAGGATAAGCTTCTACAGAGGATAGCTGCCTTGGAATTGAAGATAGACAGACTGGAAGTAAATATGGAAATAAATGCTGGTCATGGAAATGATACGACCGTGCCTGTGCTGACCTAGCCTGGGTGCCAGTCAGAACTTAGTCCTGCCCACAAGGTTTGAGTTCGGGGAAGTTCGGTCTGGCTCTGCTCCATAGTAGCGCGAGTATTATCGCCCACTGTCAGGCGATCCAATCAAATTGTCAGGGCGGACTTTATATGATGATGGACAGATGATCAAGAGTAACGTAATCAACCACGTCACCAAAGCGCGCTTGGGTGACAACAACGATGGCTGCCGCTGGAGAGTTTGGGTGAGTAGATTCTGCTATTAGGTCTGTTCTAGAAGATATCGACAGCAAATTAATTTTAAAAGAGGAACAGAGAAATGCGATCAAGTCTCATCTTCTTATTCTAGGCGTGAAACTGCACGCTTTGATTTTTGTGGACAACAACTATGCCTGGCTTAACATACGTCACGCACTCCGTTGCTCTTACTGGTCTATCCAATTGAGTGCAGAGGCATTTTTTTTCCTGGTTCGTTCGAAAAACGCCCCATAATCACAGCTCTATGGAGCAGCATCAGACTCATATTCTGACCAGAATTGAGTCGGACTACGTCAGGCTAGTGCTGACCCTACCAGTGTCTCAATCTCTAATTGGCCTACAAAAGTTGTGCTTCCTTGTTCTAAGTTTGGCCTTTATTCCCTTTGCTTGTTATGGAGGCAAACTAAACTAAACTGCGCTGCCATTTTACAAAATTAGATTTTGATCAAACTGACACATGAGCACCCTTGCTCTATTTTCCTTTTCATCACTAAATTGGTCTGGGTGAGCACACATTTCTGCTTACTGTTTTCAACCCTAAAAATAAAGAATAATAGGAGCTGTCTCTGAAATACATGACGGCTCTGTTTCCAATCCTTTGAGCTCTGTGGAAAGAATGTGGTTTTGGCTGCAGACAAGTGGAGCAGTGGAACGGCTCTACCTCATCTGTGGTTTCATTCGTGTATGTATCGGGTTTTAAAACAAACATGGGACAGTGGCATGGCAAGCGAAGAGCTGTATGTTTTTGCAGGGCTGACTAATCCTGTTGCCATTACGAAGCTGTATCTTACTTCCATGATCCCTTTTTAACCCAGCAGGGCTGTTGGCCTGACTCAGCTTTTGCAGCCTGTTAACCCAGTTAGCACAGCAGCATCTAGATCAGTACATCTTTGAGCTACATAGAAATATATTTAATTTAATATATTTAAAATGACTGAATGGCTGTATAAACTAATTTTCTACCCAAAAGTTTGATAGCAATCTTGTTTCATTTGAAGAAGATGGGAGTGGCAACTTAACTCAGGTCAAGGACCTATTAAGACAGTCATCTTATACTTTAAGCTCGCCCTACTTACCTTAAAAACATTATCCCAATTTAAATGTTTTGTTTGTTGTTTTTTTTGTAATGTTTGAAAAACTCTGCATCCCAAGAATAGAGTGAACAGCTTCTAGAAATCCATGTTAAAAAAAAAAGGTGTATAAGAGTAGCTAAATCCATGCATCCATCCATTTTCCGTCACACTTATCCCAAGCGGGGTCAAGAAGCAGCTAAATTATAAACATAAAACCATGTTAAGAAAATTTTATTTTGAAATTTCATATTATCATTTACTAGATGTCTTATATTAATCAAAATACACAACAGCTTGGCTTTTGCTTAAAAACATAGCACAATGCATTCAGTCAGACTTCTGCCTAACAAAAAATAACCAATGGATCATTATCTATGCCTATGCCCCATGGTGATTTTAATCAATTTTACTGAATTTTGCTTTAATCATACAAAAAAAAAAAACTCGGTGTCACGATCACCGAGTCTGGGACCGGACATTTTTGCCCAAATATAGTAACACCTCACTCCAGTGACGTCACGGTGCGGTAAGCCTAGCGCCATTCTCCCCGCTTTACAAGCAAAATCAATGGGAACTACTAGACACATCTGCAATCATTAACAATTATTGAAGATTTTAGAGGACTTCACCATTGAAATTCACCAGAACTATAGTCAAACTGACAATGCCCACGTGCATGGGAGTTGGATGTTGGAATACATCTGGTAAAAGTAAAAAAAAAAAACAGTTAATTATTTCACCTTTCACCGTGACATCACCACCGGTAGGTGGCAGTAGTGTTCTTTGACAAACAATCCAGTAAAGCATATTCAAATTAAATTACCCTTAATTAAAAAAAGACTTTTCGTTTATTGAAAAGTATGTAATAATTTCATACTTTCAAACGATTGTATTCTGAGGGTGACCGGACTTTTCCTTTAATACCCTCCATCCTGTTTAAAGCAACAGTACCGTGTAATAATCATAATGAACCACTCATTGACTATGACTTCATCAAGGCCAAGGTGTGCCTTGATGCTAGGGGAAACAAAGCGCATTATTGTTGAATGGCACCATGTGCAGCTGATGACAGAGGAAACATGGACCGCACTCATTTTATAAGATGCCTTAGAGCCATGGTCTGTATAATGGGTGCGAAGCAAAAAATCTAACTGAAGATACCAAGCAAACTAAGATTTCTTGCAGGCTTTTGAGAATATTGTAGTAGCCAAAATGATTTCGGCTAATAAATCTTTTTGTCTGTTTTCTGTTTTTTCCAATTTAAGTTGCTCCTTCTGATCAGATACAGTTTTCCTGTTGAACAGGATTCAGAAATTTCTATTGGTCACATATAAAAATTAAGGATTAAATATTTCATTATTTGTAAACAGAGTAAAAATTTCACAGTTGAATTCAAGTTTATAGTAACTGCATAAACAATGCGGTTACCAAGTTCAAATTTTATAAACGACGACCTTAATATTTTTGCGTTTGTTGACCAACTAATGTCCAGTCACTAGTTTCTAGTCTTCTGTGAAATGGCCTTAAATGAGCATGGACTTTCTACTTCGTCATCTCTAGGTTTTGGGAACCAAGCTGGAGTACAAAGAATCGGAAGCAAAGTTTGATGATCCATAACTGTGATTGGGATCCTGACAACCATCAGCTCTGTTTTCCGGCCCAAAAACGTCTTCACTGAACTTTGCTGCTCCATCTTATAAACTCCAAACCTACTTTCTCAAAAACTGGAAAATCAATCTGGGTAGCAGCAGGCAGGGACGCAACAATTAAAGATACATCATAGAAGAGTTTACAGACGAGTAAAAGGATTGCTGAAAATAGATACTGGGTTTAACTGCTAAACTTTGGCAGGAAAGAGACCAGTTTTCCACATTAATCAAAAGTGAGTGTGTTGCACTCACAGGATGCTGTAGGCGATTAGTGCAACACTTTAAGTGACCATTACCACAATTAAAGTTATCCACCCAAAACAGCCATCCAAATATAACACCGGTCCCAGCCAGAGGATAACAATGGAAAAACTTTTTTTGCTTACTGAAGTAGAAGCTAATATTAGATTTGGCTCCCATAGTGGAAGAGTTCATAAATTACTGCAACAACCAAAAATCATAGAGTTTACCCCTGTTCCATCTATCACTGGCTTTAAAATACTAACAAACTTTTAGATAGTCACAAAAACAAGTTCAGAACAAAATTAGGAAACATAACTTACAAACTCATGTCCCTGAAAGAAACATTAATGTTTATTTTCTTTATTTGTGCGGAGGGGGGATGGCTGTTATGTTGTTTACAGGCTGTTGCATGGAAATTTACTGTAATCAATCACTCATATCAAGGTATTGCTTATTTAAGCTGACAATTTATGAGCAGCATAAGAATAAAACTACATGCTGGCAACTCAAGCATGTAATCAGGCTCATGATCTTATCATGTGTGCCTGTGAATCACCTCTAAATCCTAGTTTCCAGTACAGAACTAAATAGCAGCCATCAATACTTTTCACTGACCTTTTATCTTTTTATACCTCTTTGTTGGTCATATCAAGGGACATCCTGAACAACACTGAAGTCTTCAAACATCCCAATCATAGGCCGTAACCTGGCCACAGCAGATGTGTTAAAACTTGTATCATCAGTAGTATTAAAGTATATCTGAGAAACTAAATCAGAAAACCTTCAAAGAGAGCCTATGAAGTTTTTGGAAGATGATATCTTACAGACAAATGTTTAAACAAAGGACCTTTTTTTTTAGTGCAGTGAAAACTTGGTAAAGAATTCACCGCCTCCAATTCAAATATACAGTCTGATTACTGCAAGAGATTAGGGGAAAAAACACATCTTATAATAAACAGTTGGATGGGAGGAAAGATCATAGAGATCCTTAGATTGGGATCTCAGAGTCACAGGAGAAAACAAATTGCAGAGGTCTGTGCAGCAGGGAAGTGTCTGAAAAGATGTCTTAGATACAGAAGCATTGGATCAACGTGTGCAAAACAGACAACAAACAAAAGTCTTCTTACCTTAAGTCCCTCTACAGCTTTCTGCAGCTTGGCTGAAGTCGAATTGGATGCGTGGCTCTGCATGTCAGAAAGTGTCCTGGAATCCCTCTAGCTCAACAAACAAAAAGACACCTGTTTAGTTTTGCTTTTTATGTAAGTAAGTAAATAAATAATGCAATAACTAAAAATAATCCATACTTCTTCCTCAGTTTTATGCCTACCTCACAATATCTGCCAATTTCTTCTGCGATGCTGCTTATATGCAGCAAGTATCCCTGCAGCCTCTGCTGGTAAGCCAGGGCGAAGAGCTTCGCTTCGCTCTGCAGCGCAGCCACCTGAGCCAGCAGGGACCGCTCCCTCCTGTCCCACCTGAGCTGCGCCATCCGGAGGGTCTGCTCCAAACCTGCGCCCTTCTTCTCCGATGCACGTTTCGCTGCCTGGAGCGCCTCCACGTAGCAGTGTTTCCTCGCGCTGTCCATGCTGTGACCGCATCCCCTCTGACACACTCTTTGATCACAGTGACGCGTTTGTAATGCTTTTTGCATCTCCATCGCGCATCTGGGTTTAAAAGTCACGACTCACTGCTCGGCGCATGACAGGAGAGCATTCCAGATGTTTGAACTGAAGAAAGTTAGAGCATGAGAGACACTTTGAAAATTCTAATTAAGTTTTTTTTTTTTTTTGCAGGACGCAGGCTGTTTGCATTAAGTTTCAGAAGGAACTCAAGCTTTATGGTTAATCATTTTAAATGCTACATTAAAAAAGGTTAATGGAAAACCAGATTCAAACATGTGACATCTGACTTTATTTAAACACAGGGGGAGATTTACCATTAGGCAATACAAGGCAGTTGCCTAGGGCCCCAGGTTCCTAGGGGCCACATAAAACCCTGTTTACATGTATGGTTAATACAACTATTCCTTATGTGTGCACATTAATAATGGTTTTGATAAAGTCTTGGTTGTGTTATGTTTTCTTTTGTGTATTCTGTTTTACTTTGTTCCATGTTTTCTAGTTTTAAGTGTTTTCATTCTTATTTTGTAGGGATGCACGATATTGGGATTTTGGCCGATATCCGATATGGCAATATTTTAAAACTCATGTAGCCGATAACCGATACCGATACCGATGTTAAAGCTGGACAAAAATAAGTAGTCATTGAAAATAGCAGTTTTGTTATCCATTTCTGACACTTTGAAAAATAATATACTCAAATATATTTTCATATGCTGATATCAAATAGATTTTTAAAAACGCGGTATCGATCTATTTTACTTTCAAAATCTCGTGAAATTTTTCATCATTCTGCTACAAACTCTCGTGATATTTTGCAAATTCTTGTGAGATATTGTTAGTAAAATAGATCGATACCGCGTCAATATATCAATATATAAAAATATGGCAACATTTCGTGAATTTTCGGGGGATTTTGTAGCATAACGATGACATATAGCAATATTTCATTAGTAAAAGAGATTGATATGGTGTTTTTAAATGGCAATATATCAGCATATGAAGATATTGTGATATTTTAATGTATCAATATTTTTTCCCTCGTCTTTAGAAGTTTTTAAGTCTGTAAAAAAGAAGTTTTTGAGGAAGAAGAAGTAGTATTTTTTTCTTTTTTTTTAGACTTTAGAAACTCAGAAGCTGATCAAATATCGGGTTAAATATCAGTGGGGTGGCCGATGTCCGATATTCAGTTTTAAGGCCGATACAGGCCGATACCGATAGGGGGCCGATTATATCGTGCATCCCTATTATTTTGTTGTGTTTTCTGTTTTTTTTTTCAGTTCTCTGGTTTTTATTTGTTACCCTCTGCTGCCCTCTTGTGTTCTCCCTTTTCCCTCGCTCCTTTTCCGTTTCAGCTCTGTTCACACCTGCTCCCAATCTGCTCGGTAGCCCTCTCTTTGTTTCAGTCCTTCCTCAAACTCCGTCTCTCTGAGCCTTCCTCCTAGTGATAGTATCCCCCCTGATGTCTCCATCGTTTCTGGTTTGTTTTGACTTTGTTATCATGTTTTGATCTTTTTTTTTTTTTTATTCCTGGTTTCCGGTTTGTTTGGACTTAGTTTTCAAGCTTGGATGTTTGGATTTCCTGCCTCTGTGTTCACTTAACCTTTCATTAAACCCACAAGAAAATCACCTCTGCCTCCTTACCTCTGCATTTGGGTCAACAAACCACAACCAAATCCTGACACTGTGGGTCTAGATATGGCCAAGGCGGTGAGGAAGTGGGGGCAAATTTGTGCAACAACGGAGCAACATGAGGGCCAAAAAGAGCTGGAATCCATGTGGAAACAGGCTCCCAGCATTCTCGCGCACATGGCTATTCTAGCTGGTCCAACTTCACAAGTCGTTTTCCACAATGGTGGTCATACAAACCAGCCAAGCCGGTAAGGTACCAAGCAGGAAATACACATGAGTAGAGCGGATGTAGATTTGAGCAATCAGAGGCCTCCTGTCTGCTGTCACCTACAATTTTGGAGAGGTGCACTAGAGTGTCTGCTGAGGGGGCGCAGACGACCTGGTTTCAAAGTATAAATAAGCCTTAATGGGTCTGTTTTATGTATTGTCTTCTCAATTCAGAAGGCCCCATGCCTGTTTTTGCCCAGGGCCCCAGATTTCCTAAATCCTACCCTGTTTTAACACATGACCCTGGCTTCTCCACCCTTTCCATCCTTTGGCACTTTGTTCCTCTCTTTTTCCATCAAAGCACATATAAACCTAACTATTTCTTATATTTATATCTTTCAATTTCTATTTTTGATGAAGATATATTTATAGAACACGCTGAAAATCTGGTGCAGATTTGACTGATTTAGTAGGCTTTATAATATTCCTTCTTTTATTTGTTGTAATTTTTGGTCGACATCGTGACCAGTCAACTATTAGTACGATCAAACCTAATTAAAGCTGTAACTCTAAAGGTTGGATTGTAGCATATTTATTGAAAACACTTGAGTTCATTAATATCAGATGCAGCCTTTTGTGTTGTTTTCATTAAAGAGACTCTGTCCAATCAATTGACTCAATTTTATATAATTATCTGATTGTTAAAACCTAAGACTGGAAATTATGAAAATCAGGGCCAAAGTTAATTTTTTTTCTAGACCTATGTAGGAAAACTTGCCACATACTTTAAACTATGCAAAACCTTTAAAACATAGACATGCTGGGGACAAGGTACATATAAACATATGTGCATGTCAAATACTTGTGAAAGTAATGGTTTCCCCTACTGTTGAGTGATATATAAAATAAAACTGCATTTCTGTAGATTAGATATAATGACCCATAAATTAGTAAAACTAATCTAAAGGTTGTAATTTTCAACGTCCAACAAACTATCTCCAAAATGTTATATCTTTGTCAATCCAAGTCTTTTATTTTTATTATTTTTTTTGTTTTGTTTTGTTTTTTTGGGTGATTTGATGTTTGATATTAATCTTCTCCACCAGAGGTCGCCCATTCGCTTAAATATTTAAATAAAGACAAACCCGTTAACCTATTTTAACCCTTCTTAAACTTGCTGTTGTTAGATCATTTCTCTCCTCCTTCTACTTTTTACAGTTTCTGTTTTGCACTTATAAAAAAAGATTTTCCCTGTTTCCAACCCAGTCAGGCCATTTCAAAGTGTATGAGATGCTACAGGCATCAGAGACAGACAGGATCACATTTCAGCTCCCACTCTGGTCATGGTCCTCTCTGTGCACTTGTTAAAAGTTCTGTGTTTTCAGAGAACAGGTGTGAATATTCAAAAAGTATATTTCAATCTGTTGAGGCACATATCTACAAAAACAGATGGTGTATTTGAGAGACGTCTGGAACATTTCATTAACTGAATAACTCTTTAAAAGAAAGCTGTACAATTGACAAAAAGATGGTTTATCAGAGAGCATGAGGACTTTCAACTGTAGGGTTTTTGGACACATACATTCATTACTTCAGAGAGAAAAAACATATTACACACAGCAACTAGGAATGGACTTATCACAGGGGCCATATGTTTGTACTGATAAGCTTTAAAATTATAGTAGAAAAAAATGTTGAGCCCATGTTTTGTTCATTTTGTCAGCTGATTTCACTGACTGCAGTTGCTTTAATTGCAGATCTAAATCAGACGCTTGTGTGCTAACTTAATCCCGAGAGATACGCATTATCAACTTACCTTTCATCTAAATGACACTTAATAAGACAAAACTCTCAAAGCTTGTTCACAATCTTAAATTGGGATTTTCTGTAATTGAGAACACAGTGAAATACTGTTTATGAATGATTATTAAGCAGCATTGCAAAAAAGGTAGCTTTTACAATTTCACATTTTGCCACACTAGTATCATAAACCTGAGTTTTATGACGCACATATATTTATGCTACACAAATAAAAAGGAGACATGTTGGATCTTTTTTTTATTTTGAATCATTATTCTGATCTGAACAGTTTGTCTTTTTGTTGGATCTTTTCCTTGTTTATTGTTTTGCATTTTATACTGAGATGATCAAAAACAGTTTACCTGTTATGACTATAAAGACAAACTTTACAAATTGAATGCAATTCATTCACTTATGTATATATATATATATATATATATATATATATATATATATATATATATATATATATATATATATATATATATATATATATATATATATATATATATATATATATATATATATACATACATACATATATATATATATATATATATATATATATATATATATATATATATATATATATATATATATATAATTTGTAAAGTTGAGTAAACTTGAGTAAATCTTTGGATTGAATTTTTTAAGTCTGCTTGCTTAGACTGAAAATATCCATTCATATATTTTCTTGCCTGCCTGATTCTTGCCTGGATCTTTGCCAGAAACCTTTAGGATCAATGAGGCACCACTTTCCTTTAAATGACATTTTGAGACATGTCTGCAGTTTATTAAGGCTGCAGGAGAGCTAGCATGAGTCCTAAAGTAAAGTACAGAAAAGTCACTGATTCATTCAGTTGAGCTTTCAGTTTCACAGTGATTTAGAAACGCTGGCAGCCTTGAGGAAATGCCAGAACATATATCTTTTTAATTAAGGATATATATTCTGTAGAGGATAAAGATTCCAGTTTATAGTTAGATAAGTAAATCATGCTTAATGCTAAAGTGACTCTTAAGCATCATGAAACATATCCCCTGAAATGTATGTCTAAATCTTTTTTTTTTTTCAAAATAGAGAAATAAAGGTGTTTTACTGTCATTTAGCTCTCAGCATACTCTCCTTTACGCCAATTCTATCAGTGACTGCTTCAAAAAACATATAGAAAAGTGTTTCTTTATAAACTTCAAAGACATTTGATTTTTATTGATGAATCCAAAGACACAAGAACCACAGTGCAAACTCCTAGTTAACTACACCTTTATTGTTTCTTGTCCAGTCACAGAGAGCTTTCAGATTCATCCCTGGTATATATCCGTTTACATCAAAGCACTGATTTCCAGCAGAAAGCCACACATGCTGCCAGTATCACCGATGATGCAACCAAACCCCAAGCATCAGGTGTGAACGAGACAGCAGGACAGTTTTTATCAGCAAAGTGAAATGCCTTTAGTCAGTTTACATTTTTCCCTTTAATAAAAGACTTCTCCTAAGGGCATCTATTGAGATGACTGACTTATTGAAGCTTAGCAGCTAATGCACATATTAGTCTAATATCTCTAGTCTCTCTGACCTAAAGGGGATGCCACTCAGGATTGGAATGTGTTTTACAATAGTCTCAGAAGTTTCCACAATGTTGGTATGTTTTCTCCAATCTCATGCATGGTATTATGTAGAGCGACAGCCCTGTTCGCAACGTCAAAGTTCAAGGCATTCATGCATTTGGCAATTTTTACTTCAATGAATTGTGACATGAAGATGAAACCAGGAAAAGCACTTTGTGGTGGACGCTGATGCTGTCACAACGTAAAAGCATAACCAGCGTCAGTCATACAACAAAATGATTCAGAGGAACTGAAAACGCAGCATTTGTTCCTTCATTTGAGGGACATAAACTTTAAAATTTGACCAACTAGACTCGGGTAAAAATGTACAAATATAACCATAAAAAAATGACAAGTGATAATGTCCATAAAACTCTGATCTAGGTTAATAAAAGGACTAAACTAATGCATTTGAAACAACGACATGAGCTTCTGCTGAGCTCCTACCGCTGATAAAGATGGCTTTGCTTACCTTTTGCTTATTTCAGATAAAGAAAAAATGCATTAAATATAACTCCTGTTACAGAAGCTCAGCAAATAGTCCTGTTAGATAGCATGAAGTTGCCACAGCTCAATCATACATTGTACATTTACAGGAGGCTGTGAGGTGCGCCACTGTTTCACTTTTACCATTATTAGCCGACAACGAGCGTCATGAAATGAAATCACTAATTAAATTAAATGGTAACATTCTTTACAAAGCACCGACTGGCACCACTGAGGATCTAATGATACAGTCAAAACAATGAAGGTTCTTTAGTTACCATTTTGTTTCGTTTTTTAAGTCTTTCTTTTTTTACATTAGCCAATTTTGGTGGAAAGGTGGGATCTCTGCACAATTGGATCATAGATGGAAGTAATCAATGTTTAAAACTATAGATTTAAATGTGTTTCTTGCTTCTGGGGGAACAAAACACACATGTTTAACTCCCCAAATATCTTTATCTGACTATAACAGAAGCTATAACCTTCATATATTATCAGGAGAGGAAAGTAAATTAATCATAACAATACAATATTAATCAGTGAATATAATAATTTAGCATGTAATAAATTGTACTTTTTCTGAATAAAATCCATCAAAATGTAAGATGCTGACATTTGCTTTGACTGTATCCCTGTAAGACAGCAAGATCATTTAAAAAAGCCACTGATAAAAAAAAAAAAAAAAGACAAAGTTGAAATTTTGAAACTCATACACTTGCCTTTCACAGCTATTGTTAACCTTCTATAAGGGAATGCACTGAAGAAACATGTTTTTAGAAAACATCCAAGTTAAAAAGAAGTGATAAAATGCAGCATTTGGATATCAGAAATGTCTGGTTTGAGATGTAAAAAAAAAAACTGAGCAGGCAACCTATGCAAAACTGTAGGACTTACAATTTTTTTACTGACCCATTTGGAAACAAGTCACTGTGAAAGATAAGAGCAATTGTTTATGTAAGGCATTTCAAGTTGACAGAACTCCTTTGAGATTCCTTCTGAGAGGCCTTTAGTGGATAAATAAGGAAAGCCTTTGTCCATTTTCCAATTGTTTTCCATGTCCATGTCTGTTTTCCACAAACACATCCCACAGGGGAAGAGCTGGAAAGTGACACTGGATTATAATATTGTGGAAAGGGTCTCAGATCGTTGTAGGTGGGGAACCTTCATCAATCACAAGCAGTCTTCATCACAACTAAGAGAAGACAAAGATGACGCTACATTCAGAGGTTCAGAAGGAGGAGACCCAAGAGGAGCATTGGGAGGACATTAAGAAATGGGGAACACCACGTAGCTCTGCCTGAAAGAGACAGACAAATAAAAGCACATTTTTTAGAGAAATATACACTGGAACCCCTGAATGTATTGATTGAAGGGATGCATTATGTTCCATTACCAATATTTACATGAGCAAAATTCCTTTCAGTTACTTTACTTCACTTGTTCAGTTAATTATTTCTGTTATATTGATAATCATAGTTGTCTGTTTTTGTAAAAAGATATACAATGGACAGACAACTGCTAAGAATGCCATACATCTAAGGTTTTCTCTTATGCAACGTCCAGACCGCAAGCAGCAGATGCAGCAGAGCAGCTAGTTTACATTCAAAGTTAATGGTGGACGTGCGTCAAGGCACAGCAAAGGGCCCTGTAGAGCAGCGGTCCCCAACCTTTTTTGCGCCACGGACCGCTATATGTCAGACAAGGTTTACAAAAGGGGGATTTTACAATCAAGTAAAATGATACGACTAGCATAAAATCAAATACAAACACCATCAAAATAAAACAACAAGCCGGTCACATCTAGGCGTAATCGGAGAAAATGACAGACGAAGTGTGCTCCTGATGTCCAGTCTGCCCCGCTTGGTTTTGGTCGCTGTAGCCGCAAAGATAGGATGTTATAGATAGGATGAGTCTTGAACTGAATTAACCTGTGTCAAGAGGCACAGATGCAGCGACTGATGTAATTGGGAGAGAATATCGCAATTTTTTATATTTTTCAAATTAAATATCACTCAGACTCTGATCGTCGATAAATTATATATATATATATATATATATAAACTTTTTTCTGTGCGGCCCGGTACCAAATGATCCACAGACCGGTACCGGTCCACGACCCGGTGGTTGGGGGCCGCTGCTGTAGAGCATTTAGAGCACAGGAGCAGCAGGTCATGAGCTTCTGAGCATATGACGCGTGCTACGCGCTTCACAAGTAGCAGCTGCTGGAGTTGGAAAAATGTAAGTTTGGTGCTCGACGCGCCACATTAACCAATCAGAGAAGCTGATCTGGGAGCTGGCAGGGAGACAGACACAGCACTGTTGATGTAGAGCGCTATGATTACTCCTCTGAAACAGTTTATTAACACCTAAATTAACTTAAAATGTCGAAACCTGCCGGCAAAATATGTTTGATTTTATTATTTTGGTGCTGCAGTTTGGATTCCGTACATCAAAAAAACACCTTCTAGCCGCTGCGAACGTAGCGAAAAAACCACAAAGAGGCGACCAGGCCAGAGGCTGCTGCAGAACGGATTCCTAGTGACAGAGCAGCGTCTGAGCCGCTCCGACAGAGAAATAATATTTGATGGCAGGATGGTAGTCTTGATGAATTGGCTGCACAGATGAATTTTTCAGGTGGACTTTCTCACTTAAAAACATATTAAAGGTACTTTTTACCCACTGATCACAGCAAATATGACTGCTGTTGTTACAAGCAAAGAAAGGATAGTGTAGCTCCGCCCAGCGCGTATCAGACCCACTTTTCGACCGCGCAGCTAGAGCAGCAGAGATGCTGCAGCGGCGCGTCAGAACTAAACTTGTACATAAAAATGAAGCAGCACGGGCATTTTTGCTGCCTCTGCTGCTAGCGGTCTGAATCTAGCATTAGACATTGTGACTTCCATTTGTTCTCATGCCAAAAGCAAAGCCAATCAGAGAAAATAAGTCTGTTAACAACCTCATTTGCATCTGGACACTAATCAGTGACTCAAATTTTGGAGGCGACAAGCAGAATTATCCAAGCTTCTTAATTTGTATCTAAACCGACCATTAAATTGTTTTGTTTTGTTTTTTTGTTTTTTGCTAGAGAGCAGTCTGTTCAGATGGGCAACAGCTGGTTTCACAGAATCTTGGACGGCTCCATTCTGGTACAAGTGCTTCTTAATTAACATGCTCATGTCAATAGTAATTAAAAACTTTCTACACTGTGAGCAGTGAAACTAGTGGTTCCAGTCCAAGGGATGCTTGATGGTTCTTTTATTACTCATACACATCCAAACATTTTGTGTAATTGTTTTAAGCCTGACATTTAGGGTGATATTATATAAACTTGAACAACATTAAGTGTTTTGTAGCAGGACAATTATCCCCAAAACATATACAGTCAGAAAACAAAGCAGGTAAACGTTAAGCCTCATAAGCAAATTCCACAAGACCAAGACTTTTATTTTAGTGAAGATACATTGATTTTAATTGATCTGTGAGAATAAATTTTCCCGTTTAAATAAACACTACAAATCTAAAAGGCAAAGGGATCAAATGTCTGGGATAAAGACACTGGCAACAAAAAGTGTGTGGTTGAGACCAAGCTTGCCAAGGGATGATTTACAGGAAAAGTCGGGTCATATTCAGAATTCAAACTTCTGAAAGTACTTTAAAATTACATTATTACATACTGTTCAATAAATGATTAGTGTTCTTAATTAAGAGTAATTTTCATTTGAATGTGCTTTACTAGAGGCATCCATGGTTGTCAAAGAACACTACTGCCACCTACCGGTTTGTGACGTCACGGTGCGGTATCGGCTGTTGAGCAAGTCCCAACGCTGTATTTAGTGTTTGTCACAACGTGCTAATATCCAAGTCAACTTGAAAACAATCTTATACAAAATGTTAGCTAAATATTATGTGTATTTTTCTTTGGCCAGAAGTTCGATGGCAAATCCTCCCTATTGAAGTTGGCAATCCAACGACGAACCCGTCGGTGGAGGATCATGAATTGGAAACGTGAAAAAACTTTTTTATTTTCCCTTTTACCTTTGATTTTTGATTTGATTTTGATTTTATATACTCTAATAATCCCAGAGGGAAAGTACTTCTCAGCATTTAACTCATCCCCTTGGGGAGCAGTGAGCTGCCATTGTACGGCGCCCGGGGAGCAGTGTGGGGTTATGGGTCTTGCTCAGGGAGCTAGAGTGGCAGTCTGTGGGAGTGGGGGATCGAACTCACAACCTCAGGATTCAAAGCCCTATGCCCTTACAACATCCAACTGCCATGCATGTGGGCATCGTCAGTTTAACAAAAGCTCTCGTGGATTTCAATGGTAAAGTCCTCTGGAAATCTTCCATAATTGTTGTTGATTGCAGATATGTCTAGTAGTTCCCATTGATTTGGCTTGTAAAGCGGGGAGAATGGCACTAGGCTTACCGCACCGTCACTGCCATAAGATGGCAGGAGTTTGGTGTTACTATATTTGGGCAAAAATGTCCGGTCTTGGACTCAGTGATCACAATGCTTTTATTTATTTATTTTTTACTGATTAACGCTAAATTCATTAAATCACCACAAATGTACTAGTTTTAGGTATAAAGAATGACCAGTTATTATTCCTTCTCCTTTAAGAAATTTTAAACATTTATGTCTAAGATACATGTATGTAATCTTCAGGCTGAAACTGGGACTGCTAAACATGGCAGAGGTAAGATGGTCCAACAAACTTCACATATAGATATTTCTTAAACATGATAACTTGGACTGTCCTTGGTATGTATACATCACCAACAGTGGCTTGGTCAAAAGTATGCATTAGGCCACAGAGTGTGACCATATAAGTGAGTTAGTCTTTTGGCATTTAACACCAATAGTTATACGGTACTTTAAGTTTCTTTATTGTTGCAGCAGCCTTGGACATGATTAAATGCAGGACACATCCATTGACTGCATGAAACCACACATCCCCCTCTATGGTACCTAATTATCACATTAAAGGAAATCTGTCTCTAAAGACATCCATCAGATTCTAAAGTGATTTTTGAACATGGACTGTGATGCATGCAGTGTGAGTTTATATGACCACAAACACCCCTCTGTCATTTCCAAGCATTCAAAATGAGGCATGACTTTAGTTCTTGAGTCTGTGAAATCAAGGTGTCAGGTGGAGTCTGGTCTGAGTGATACTAGATAAGGAGGACAGCAGTGGGCGTTTGCTCCTGAATCAAGATCAATTACAGAGGCTTAAATCCTTCTCTGTCTAATCACCTTGCCAACCGTTCACTCATGCACCAAACAGATCAGTCAGGCTTTAGACACGGATCCTCTCATCCCTGTAATCTGAGGTATAAAATCTGAACTGACATTGTGACTAGCGCCCATGGGAACCCCTCGCCACCGGCAAATGATAACCTACTGAGTTTTAGCCCAGGATAATCTTACAAGCTCACGGTAGACCATAATGAATCGGCACAATGTTTCACCTCAACACTCTAGATTTTAACTGTAATTTGATCCCTTGAATTTTCCATTATATTCCTTTGACACAGAACTTAATCTTGGTGAAAACGTTATAAAATTTCTCAGAGATTACACTTAGTCAATGCATTGAGTTTAATCTGAAATCTAACTCTACTTAAAACAACTTTAATTTGTTTGTCTTTTACTTTTTTGCTTGGATTTTTAAAACACCATTGGAACATAAAAGTGTTTTCACCACACATATATAAAAATCTAAGTTAATTTAAGTGTTAATTGACGGTAAGAACCTACTGTAGCTTTGAGGGATGCTGATTTGTGCCACAGCCCCGTCTCCTCCCTCTGTGTGCACCCGGACTTCTACCACATATTCTTTATCTGTATCCAGTTGAAGTCCAATGTAGGGAGTTTTGGTCGTGTACAGCGTGGAGTTAATATTGCCTTTCAGCTTGCAGAGCACCTGGGTACATGATGAGCGTAGTTAAAAAGCATGAAGTTCAGAGATTTACTCTGAAATGAGAAACGATTACGTTTACTTACCCTATAACTTTCTATAATGGATTCATTAGAAAATGGTTCCACTGCTTCCCAGGATACATTTACATACTTTTCCTTTAACTTTGTGGCAATTATTTTTTTGGGAGGTCGATCCGGAGCTGATAAGTTAAAAAGAACAACTTTCTGTCAGATCAGAGAATTATTTTGTATCATTTTTATTTTTTGTCATGTAAAGTCAAGCAGCTGTCATGTGTCTTGTTTTACAAAGTAAGTCACATAAGTCCGTGTTGAAACCTACGGGGTTTTTTGGTGCGGATCTTGATGGGTTTGCTGGGCGGTCCGTAGCCTGCAGAGTTGTAGGCTCGAATCTCAATGATGTAGTCTGAGCTGGGCTTCAGGCCCTCCAGCCTTGTGTGGTTTTCCTTTGGTGAGGCCCGAACCGTGAGACTTTCACTTTCTTGGTTTTGTCTCCAGTACTTTACCTAACGCAGACAAAACGTTAATAGAAATGTTGACAATGATTAAATGGTGACTTTAAAGAGTTGAAAGGTGCTTTAAATCAAAGAAAAACATTTTAGAAGAAAGGAAGAAAAAAGGTGCATGGGATATATACAGTCATAAGTGTGTCCAAATGTGGCAGCATCTTTTTAGTTACTACAATAGAAAACTTTGTTCACTTTGTTCTACTTTTTGTGTCTGGGGCATTTAAAATAAAATCATATGTACAAAACCTATTTAAAATAAAACAGTGAGTCTTTGACAACCTGCTCTGACATATCTGGATTATGCTGAGGTTCTATGAGCATGAGAGAGAGTAATATGTCCAGCAGATAATAGAAAGCCTAAACAGAGTAAAGGACTCTTTATGTTTCATCTTCTTAAGCTTGAAATGTAATAAAAACCAAGTCAACATGTGACAGGTTAAAATTATTACAATATTTTAAAAGTTGTCCATACACAGGTTTAAAAGACTGATATTTCAGTTAAAAACTAGAGTTAAAAATTATTCATATTTCATAATTATCATTTTGTTATGATTGTTTAAAAGTAGTGGCAATACAGTACTAAGAGTATTAATACAATGTACACTATTTACAATTTCTTAAGAGTTCGATGGTTTGTAGATCGATTGCTTCCGTCCAGCAGAGAACTGTGCTTTGCGCTTGCGCAGAAAAGTTTTGGTGTTCTTTTGAATAAAGTGAAAGTGAGTAAAGACGTCGGCAGTATCTCCATTATTCATTTTAACTCAAAAGCAACCACGTACCTCTCCCAAGATATCGGAGCAGAGGGCGCAACACACACATTTTAATAATACTATATATAGTCATCTCTATAAGAAGTTTCTAATTTTTAAGTTCAACTTAATGCATTTTATATTACGTATATTACATAACAGTGACTGCTCTCACACACCTGTCATGTGAAATCACATCCTCTCCCCTTATAAAAAAAGGAAAGTTCATGGTAGGAAGGCGATACAAACTTTGAAAGCAGTTCTGCTTTTAGAGGTTGTTTGAGAAACTAAAATCAGATCAATCTGTAGTGCTATGTTAGAGCTTTACACAAACAGAAGATGGAAATGGTTCATAAAATCTCGACCAGCAAATCTCCCATCTTTTTTTGTTTGATAAGTGTTTTTTTTTTTGAGAGAACAGAAATTAAACCTTGAAGTTAATAAAGGAAGGTTGATCTTTTTTAAGCTGTTTTAGCTTTTATGTGCTTTCAACAATACCTGCCTTTGAACATGCTGGAATATAGATATTTGTTAGCCTCTTGAAATCTCAATGTTAAGCAAAAGACCTCATTGTTTTTTGATTTTAGGGATAGCGATTGCTTACCAAAGCTCTTTACTCATCATGGAAATTAGAGACTGAAATCATTTTAATATGTCAACTCTGTATTTATTTTGTGTTTGTTTCAGAATAGCATTTTTACCTTGTAAGATTAAATAAAGCTTTACATTTTTTTTAATCTTTTCACTCAGAAAATTCAACTGTAACACTACAATTCTTAGAATATTTAGGATGTACAAGAGTTTTAATTATAAACAAAAGTTTCTTGATCAAAATTTGGTTTACTAACCTGGTATCCATCTATACCAGTGTCTGACTGAAGCAGCCAGGAGACGGAGGCAGCTGTGGCAGAGAGGGCTTTCCCTTCAACGGCTTCAGGAGCTTCAGACGGAGCTTAAGAGGAACCCAAGAAAATATATAAAATAGCAAAGAGGTTATAACAACAGAGGAATTTTCCATTATCACTTAAGGTGACAAAAACATCATCACTTAAAGTTAAAAGATTGCAGAAGCCCATGTGGGCAATTCAATAAGAAAAGTATACATAAGGCCAGAGTAAGGTTTTTCAGAGTCTAGCAAAAGAAGAAAATGACATCAGGACTGTCCTTTTGACCAATGTACTTAGAGTATTGTATATGATTTTATAATCATATAACAGAGCCAGCTCATTATCACTAAATCCTCCATTAATTCTAATGTTTATCAGATGGTGTGTGAGAAAAAGGTAAAATCATCTGAAAAATGATGAAAGCTGAGGCACAGCTGGGCAGTTTTCCAGAAATAGGGTAACAACAGTTATCAGGATGCAGTTTCCTGAATTTTTGCTCGGACAGCACTCTTTTCTGTACTTTTGTTTTTGTTAAGCACAATCAAACAATCTTTCTTTTTCCATGAACGACAAAATAAGATGCGTATGAGGCCATCTTTAAGTGAACATGAAGATTTAATTTCATGTCTGATGCTCTTATTTCTCATAACTTAAGTTTCTAAAACGTTTCAAATAATTTTGAAGCTTTAGATTTCAGTTTTTGCAAACTTTTCTAGATAATAAGACAGTATCTTGCAACAGTTCCAGTTTAATGAGCACTTTGTGACCAAATTCCTGCTTGATTAAATTCGGAAAAGAAACTTGTATTTTAAGGGGGTGTTTTTGTTTCTTTTTTTTTGTCTGTTTATTTATTTTAACAACAAAGACAATACCAGAAAAAAATAATCAGTAAATTTTTTAATTAATATTTTACATTCATGGAATGTTGTTTCAATAACTAATAATCAGACTGAAACACAAAATGTATTCGGCATACTCTGATAGACATCCTTTTGCTAAAATGTGAAACAAATATTGCATGAAACCACATAAAAGTTACACTAGATGTTTTTTTTACTTTTCCTTTGAGAACATCACTGGATGCTGAATAATTTTTTCATAAGTCATAAGTCCCATTTAGAGCACTTAAAGAAATACATGCTGCTACAGAAACGTCAAACAGCTACTGGCATATTGGACCAATAACATTTTTAATACTGTACACAATACTGCACAGGCTGTTCCCCAACATACTGGAGGGAAAACACTTTGCATGAATGAATTCACAGTTATATCCTCAACAGGCTTAAATTTCCTAAGAATGTTATCCTGGCTGGAAGGCTTCTCTGTAAGCCATTATGTCTGGATTGCCAGTGTTTATCTCAAGTGTTTGTCACTGGAAGTTAATTAGTCCAAATGTTTTGCATCCCGGCTCAAATGATCAGCCTTTTTTTGTCTAACAAGGATCATTAAAATCTGCCTGCAATGAAAAACTATATTGTTAGTTTTTCATTGTTTTTGTTTTGTTTTTTTACATGCCATAAAATCTTTTTTAAAGTGCATGGCTTTCTTGGTAAAGGTGAGCTTATAGAGAGCTGTGTACTTACGGTCCTGAGCAGAGTAAATGATGGCTGTTATGCTGTAGGGTCCCTCTCCTTGGCTGTTGAAGGCTTTAACTTTGACTTCAAACTTCGTCATAGGTTTCAGTTTGGGGTCTTTGTAAACATAGCGCTTGGCTCCAGGGTCAGTCACTTTCACCCTGTTCCACTCTTTTTCTTCAAGTGGTTTAAACGCCACTATGTAGCCAAAATTAGAACCAAAGTAGTACTGTGGCTGGACTGGCTAAAACAACAAATGAAGGGAAAGAAAACAGATAATTACATGATCTGGAACATAAACCCTTTAAAATATTTGCTCTTAACTAATCGGAAAAGTATCAAAATGATAAAACCATTTCTTACTTTGTTCTTTTCTCATAATACTTCATAAAACTGGCTTAGTTTGTAATCCAGGCTTAGTTTATCATCTAACTTACTTTGTTTTCATTTGGGTTTCATAGACCTGAATATAAATCAGTTACTATGGCAACTGAGCAAACCGAGTCTTTCCTTACACTTATATTCATGAACATGTCTGATTTTCTAGAGAAGAACAGCTCAAATTATATCCTAACTGTAAAGTCGGACAGTTTTCTAAACCCAAGCATAAACTCTGAATTAAAAGCAGGTAAGAGCTCTAAAACTAGGACTCCAATATCCAGGCTAAATAGACTAATACTGAACAAAAGCTTTTGACAAGATTTTAACTAAAATCAATTTTCTTTTTGTCACAACCCTATAGACTAACATATGTGCCCAAACTTCTGCCCTATGCCCTACATAATAGAGTGTTTACATAATTTTAGATGAATGTCCGAACGTCTAGTGCAGCGGTCACCAACCCTTTTACAGCTGAGGACTAATTCAGGGGCACTGAGTCACAGGAAGGGCTACCAATACTGACCTATGAATGGCAAGGGTCAATGTTCACCTAAACTTCATATATTATATTTATCGTTTCTTTAAATTTATAATTTTCTTTTAGACATTTTCATTTTGAAATCTCTATAAATGCTTAAATGCCATATATGATTAAATGATGAAATGTTCTATAACCCAATTAAAAAAAGAAGAGCAACAGAATACAGTGAAATTTCAAACGTAGCTCACTGTTGAGTTGTTCTATTTTCAGAAGACTCTAAGGGCACCCCTTGTGGTCCTTGAGGGCCCCTTGGTGCTCGCGGGCACCATGTTGGTGACCCCTGGTCTAGTGGATAAAAAAAGTAGTGGACTCGAAATTTCCCACAATGCACTTTTAAAAGCAGTGATCATCTATGGTGATCAGATGAGCAAATACATCCCAGAATGCTTTGTGAGAGCTCTCCTCGCAAGGCATCATGGATTTGATGTGGTGACGAGAAAGAATAAAGATAGGGAGTGAAAAGTAGGGATAATCTGTCCGAATACTCAGTTAATTGAGTTCACTATGAAGTCCACTATATAATCCTGGCTCTATTTAGTGATTGAGCATTTGTAGGTGCTAGGGCGGACGTTCGGACACAGCCCTCTATTTAAAATGTTGCTTGAATTGACTCTTGTGAAATATCACATCTAATACATCTATGTCTAATGAAATATTCTGTTGATGATGGAAAAGGCGACCTATGCCTTTAATGTACAGTATCAGCAATGCCGTGCCAACCTTCTTCCCTGGATGTATTGATGACAATAAGAATTCCTTTTTCCCTTTTTCTGTTAACTTTATGTTTCTCAGTGAACTGAGTGATCAGCTGCACGATCTGCCTGTGTGTGTCTGCTAAGACTGATTAATGGAACCTGTCTTGCATTAGTGACATTAAGCAAGCAAAGCATCCTAATTATGATATCCAGTAATCGCAGCTTTACATGTTTTGCCAAACGTAAGTCAGGATAAGGTGTCAAAGTCTTGCTTTTCCACATGAATTTTATGAATAAGCATAGAAAGAATCCATCCATGTATTTGTTTTTTCTTCTTTTTAACCTGTGTTGGGATGAAATAATGTTTATGGGAAGAACTGAGTGCAGTCTGTAGAGGAGCATACAGTATATATGATATCATATACATGTTCATAACAGCAAAATAAATAAGAAAGTATAGAATAAGAACAGGGATTATGTTAGGGGATAATCCAAGGCATCTGAATGCTTCACACTTCACCACAGTTACCCTTCCATCAGAAGAGGCAGTGATACCAGACACTAAATATATGAACAATAATCATACAAAAAACAAAAACAAATAAAAACTTTTTTATTAGGTCGACCCTTATTTTGAATTAGAGGGTTCTGCTGGATTTAATTGTAACTTGAAAACTCAGTAATTTAAGTCACAAGCTTATATATAAAGCATTGATCTGTAAAGTGTCATTTTAATAAAAGTAATAAAACTTATAAATGAATAGGCACAATGACAAACTGAAGACGTTAAACAATCTTTGTCAGCTCTTACATAATGATCTGCATGTTGAAAAGGATCGACCTACCGTCCACGTGATGGTCAGCTCTCTGCTGGCCCCTCCGCCTCCGTCTACATTTGAGGGCGCCACCACAGGAACTAGATGAGACAGCGAGAGCAAAACTTTGAGCCCACATGCTTTGAATCCACACAAACAAAGCCAAACCCACACAGGGCTGTAACCAAGCCCTGGCTTAACAACTGAGACATCTTTCTTCTGCAAACATGGTATCAATGTCTTCTACTGCGCTAAAGACAATCCCTAACGTGTGTGTAGGAAACTTGCCAGCACATTTTTAAGTAGCTCACCTTCATTTAATAATCATTTTCTAAAGGACTTAAAAGTCTGCTTTGCCTAAAGTGCTCATTTGTAGCACGTTAGGCTACAATGTGTTTGTTTTTGTAATCAGACCTTAATGTAAATCCTGCTGAAAAGCTTAAAGACTAATATTTCACATAGTAGAAAGAAAGTGTAACTACAAAATACAGAGATAGAAGGCCGTAATGCATTTTTCCTTCTTCTCTTACATTTCCTTAAATATTTTTTTTTAGTTTTTGAAATGAGACCTATAGTAAATAGATCTAAAATCCACACTCGATCCTACCTGATTCCAGGGTTGTCTCTTTTTGTGAAGGCCTGCTGGGTTCTCCTGTACCCAGAGTGTTGGTGGCTATGACCCTGAACTCATATTCTGTCCAAGGGAACAGATCCACCACTGTTGCTGTCTCTGCATTCCCCTCAACATCAACCGGTGCTAAAACAAAGCAAACACAGAAGAACGTGGTCCTTGAGTTAATTTACAAATATCAAATATTACATTTTACAAAATTACAACAAAAATCTTTTAACCTCTTAACATCCACCTCATTATGGGTAATCCTTTCCTATTTAGCATTCCCAAATGGAAAAGCAAATAATATAGGAACTGTATGCCCAAATTACATGTGCAATACATTATTTGAAAGCTAAAATTGAGTGACTAGAACACAGACCAACCTGCATCAATTCAAACATGACTCATATTTGTTGTTTTTTATTCTCAGAAATAATAGGTATTTTTTTGAACAGCAGTAATAAATACATTATTGAGAAAAAGCAGGTTTTATTGTATTATATTTGTTCTGCGTCATTTCAAACACAAATGCAGAAAATTTCAGACCTCTAGCTATAACAGTTCCAGAGCTGTGGGGTTTGGAACTTTTGGTGTCAGCTTGGAGCTGGCGACCCGGTGGGTTTTAAGTAGTGTTGCGCCATTTTTTGGCCCCGATACCGATACCATAATAATGTAAAATAATTGCCATCATGGCTTTGTCAAGCTGCTGCCTACCTTTGTGAACCAGGAAAAAATCTAATACAAAGTGAATCAAGTAGAACTTTTTATTGCCTACCAGGAGTGGGTGAAAATAGTTGAATAAACTTATGGCTCTCAAAATGGTATCGGTGCCCTATTTGTTGGTACTCGCCGATACCGATACCACCATTTTAGGGCGGTATCGGGGCCCCGTCCGATACTGGTATCGGTGCAACACTAGTTTTAAGTGGTTAAAATGCATTAAGTCTTTAAGATAGAAAAACAAAAAGCATTGCAATATTGGGAACAAAAGGGAAATAATACATTTTTTTATGATACCAATTCTCAAAGTGAGATGTACATTTGATTTTTGCGCCCTATTATAATTTGGGAAATCATAGACTAAAAGCTGATATAGGAGGCAAAATACTTGGAGAGGAGGTTCAAATGCAGTGCCAACAGGACAGCAAAGCTAGTAAAGCACACCGACGTGCAGCTAATGAGATTAAAATCTCAGGTTTAAAAAAAATAATAATATTAGGAATAATATTTAAAGCCACTGTGTATCCTTAAAGCAGTCATGAGGTTATATAACAGTCAGTCAATAAAGCAGGATGTATTTTTTTGTTTTGGTAGGTTTTACTAGTTTGTAATCCTACATTGTCACTGTGTGAAATCAACATCAGCTTTTTTTCCCTATCTCTTGCATTCGGCGTACTAACATGTTGTGGCGATCTTCCAGACATCTTTCGAGAATTGGTCTCTGTATTGAATGGTGTACTTGGAGATTGGACTGTGGTTGTCAGCTCCACGGCTCCACTGCAGCGTAACGTTCCTGTCACTTTTGTGAGCTATACGCACCCCACCTGGGGCACCAGGGGGCCCTGGAATGTAGAAAAGATTAACAGAGAGGCTTTAAAGTCTATTGGTGCAGAAAGCAGATGTGGCAGAAACACAATGCGAAGGCCACTCATAGAGGTTTGAGTAACAGGCAGACAGAAAAATGATGTGATTAGAGGAGCTTCAGCCTATTGAAACACAACATATAACATTCTTTTTCGTTTTCTTCTTAATTTTATTCTCCTAAAAGGCAGACAATTCAATTCAGTTTATTTCTATAGCGCCAATTCACAACACAAGTCATCTCAAGGCACTTTACAGTTCAACCAGATCATACAGTCAAATTGATTGAAAGTTTTCTATCTAAGGAAAACCAGTTAATTCCATTCACTCATTAACTCAAATACAATCCCCCACACTAAGCATGCTTGTAGTGACAGTGGAGAGGAAAAACTCCTTTTTAACAGGAAGAAACCTCCAGCAGAACCAGGCTCAGTGTGAGCGGCCATCTGCCGAGGCCGACTGGGGTTCAAGGAGACAGAAGCAGAGATACAAAAAGCAGCTGTAAAAGGCGGCACAAGCCTCTCTTTAGGGTGTTAGATAGTAGCATTTATAAAGTCAAACTTTGTTGAAGCTTTTTTTTATTCTAATGTTTCTCTTGGTACGGCTGCAGCTCCTGATTCTGGGACAGAGAAAGTATCCTGACCCACAGCATTGAAAAGCAAATAAATTCCCTTTTAAAAGCCATAAATCAGAGCTGAGAAAAGTAAAGGGAATATATTCAGTGTTTAACTTTCACCAAAATATCACAGATAAATGCTACGTTGTATACATACACTATATTGCCAAAAGTATTTGCTCACCCATCCAAATTATTGGAATCAGGTGTTCCAATCACTTCCATGGCCACAGGTGTATAAATTCAAGCACCTAGGCATGCAGACTGTTTTTACAAACATTTGTGAAAGAATGGGTCGCTCTCAGGAGCTCAGTGAATTCCAGCGTGGAACTGTGATAGGATGCCACCTGTGCAACAAATCCAGTCGTGAAATTTCCTCGCTCCTAAATATTCCACAGTCAACTGTCAGCTGTATTATAAGAAAATGGAAGTGTTTGGGAACGACAGCAACTCAGCCACGAAGTGGTAGGCCACGTAAACTGACGGAGCGGGGTCAGCGGATGCTGACGCGCATAGTGCGAAGAGGTCGCCAACTTTCTGCAGAGTCAATCACTACAGACCTCCAAACTTCATGTGGCCTTCAGATTAGCTCAAGAACAGTGCGCAGAGAGTTTCATGGAATGGGTTTCCATGGTCGAGCAGCTGCATCCAAGCCATACATCACCAAGTGCAATGCAAAGCGTCGGATGCGGTGGTGTAAAGCACGCCGCCACTGGACTCTAGAGCAGTGGAGACGCGTTCTCTGGAGTGACGAATCGCGCTTCTCCATCTGGCAATCTGATGGACGGGTCTGGGTTTGGCGGTTGCCAGGAGAACGGTACTTGTCTGACTGCATTGTGCCAAGTGTAAAGTTTGGTGGAGGGGGGATTATGGTGTGAGGTTGTTTTTCAGGAGCTGGGCTTGGCCCCTTAGTTCCAGTGAAAGGAACTCTGAATGCTTCAGCATACCAAGACATTTTGGACAATTCCATGCTCCCAACTTTGTGGGAACAGTTTGGAGCTGGCCCCTTCCTCTTCCAACATGACTGTGCACCAGTGCACAAAGCAAGGTCCATAAAGACATGGATGACAGAGTCTGGTGTGGATGAACTTGACTGGCCTGCACAGAGTCCTGACCTCAACCCGATAGAACACCTTTGGGATGAATTAGAGCGGAGACTGAGAGCCAGGCCTTCTCGTCCAACATCAGTGTGCGACCTCACAAATGCGCTTCTGGAAGAATGGTCAAAAATTCCCATAAACACACTCCTAAACCTTGTGGACAGCCTTCCCAGAAGAGTTGAAGCTGTTCTAGCTGCAAAGGGTGGACCGACGTCATATTGAACCCTATGGATTAGGAACGGGATGTCACTTAAGCTCATATGTGAGTCAAGGCAGGTGAGCAAATACTTTTGGCAATATAGTGTATGTATAAAAAACATACACTTTAACTAAGAAAAATAAGCATGTTTAATTCTTAACTTTTGGTACAGGTTTCCTGTCCTAAATTAAAAATATAAATCTCATTAAAAAATCTTAATAGTGTACTTGAAAAAGAAAAGTCACAATGCATTTTTACTGCACAGAGTGAAATTCATTTTCTTAGACTGTTTTACCATCATACATACAAGCAATACAAAAAATTTGTGATACAAACATATAAAATTACAGAATGAGGGGGTAGACTCGGGGGCAGTTCTCCAACTAAAAGTCACTGACAATCCTCCACAAGGAGGGTCAGTCACACAAGGTTATTGCTATAAAGCTGGTCTGTTGACGAGACTTTTTAAAATCACATTATGGGGAAGTTTAGTGGGGAAAAAATCTGCTAGAAAAGGTGTAAAAACAACAGCTGAAGCAGAAATTGTTCAAGGATTTTATGGAAATTCTAAAGGCATGGATTGTGAGTTTATTCTTTATGTTCCACACCGCGTAGATATATTCAGGACATGGGAATTGACTGTGGATGTTGATATACTTTTCAGTAAGCTGAAATTTCGTTATTGCAAATCCAGTTTTTATAGGTTTAATTTTCTATTCCAAAAAAGTTAAAAACAATCCACTGGACTTTGTTTCCAAGTTTGAAGACGTTTCACTTCCCATCCAGGAAGCTTTTTCAATTCAAAGTGTCAGAATTAGCGTTGAGTTCCAAGCTTTATGGAGTAGCCCAAATAAAGCCTTGTGTTGGTCTAGGAAACATGCAAGTTGAAGCCAAAGAACGGGTCTGCCTCTTGGGAATGGGGAGTCACTGGCTCTGTTCGAAAACCTAGGACGCATCCTTAGAAGACCGGATTCGAAGGCCGATTACGTGATAGCGCGGCGCCGAGGTCTGATCGGATTCCAAGAGTCCTCGTTATGCGGCCTTAAAATGCGTCCTTCTTTTTGCCCGATTTGAAGGACGGGTCCGATGTATCCTCGGTATTCTTGGATATCCCAGGATTCATTGCGAGACCAAGCAAGCCGTGATCAGAGGAAAGATTACTTGGCGCCGAACAGTGGTGAAAATTGGAAGTTCAGTTTAATATAATACAAGTCATTTAATAGTTCCGTCTGAGATTAATGAAAAATTGTTGTTTTAATGGTTACTGAGTCAGATATGTGGCGGTAATGTTTGGTCTATCTAAAGGTTTTAATCTGTTACTGTGTAAATGGGTTTGGCTGTAATTTAAGGACAGATACTAATATATCTGCAGGGTGGGGACTATAAATCTGATAGGATTTTTATCTTTTTATTGCTATTTTTCACAATATGCTTAACTTTGTATTTTTTGTTGTTGAATATTAGAGATTTTGCAGATATATTTTTTGTAAATATATTGTTTAGATTTACTTATATCTTTCTACCCCTTTTATAGAATAGAATAGAAAATCCCTTTATTTTCCCACAATGGGAAAATTTACAGCAGCAGAAAGATTATTGAAAGTGGTCACACAAATGAGGACCTTAGAAAAATGTATAAGAATATCATAATAGGGAAGAGTTAAAATATAAACAATGTAATTCTGTAAAGTGCTTTAACGATATAAAACTGGAGAATAAATAACCAATATGCAGCTATGGACATTTTTACAGTAATGGATATTTGAAAATAGCAGCAACATCAGAGATGTGCAGAATGACAGCAGCAGGTTATTTAACTGACTAAGGTTTCTATCATTACATTTGATTTTATTTGTTCCTGCTCCCGGCTGTTGGAACATTTATTCCACTCTGGATTCTTGTGAGTGTAGTCTTTGTTCACTTCACAATAAAAAAGAAATAAATAAACAGTTTTGAAAACTTCTGTATTCATTCTTTTCCTGCTTTGTGTGTCAATGTTCACGGTTGCTAAGCAACAGAGCATACGGCGGTAAAACCCGCCAAAGGGTAGACCTGGTCGAATTTACAGCCAAAACTCTTCCGGTGTCCTTATTTTCAAGGACTTCGAAGGATCCAGTCTAGGTAGACCGCGTCCTTGGAGGACCCGTTCTAGGTTTTCGAACAGAGCCAATGGGTTCTTTGTTTGCCTGCAATACCCAATACTGGCCTATGCCTCTGAAAGGGGGGTCGTTAGGGGGGATTGTTGGCTCTGCTGAACAGGAGAGATGTTTGGTCCCCTGTATTGGGTTGGGGGTTGCGATGATGGTGGGAGGGAACCAACTCTATCGCTGCATTGTAGGTTTTTGAAAGCTGAAACCTGAGTCTAAATGGGGGGGATTCAGAAGCGAAAACGTCTTCAGACTTGGAAAAAAAGTCCAGTGGATGATTTTTAAACTTTTTTTGAAATGAATATGACCTGGATAATCTTCACCAGCATGTTGAACTTCTACATTTTCAAAAAACTTCCAGTTTTTGATTAGCTGTAAGCTAAAAACAATAAAAAAAACTCTATCGCTGCAATTGTAGGTTTTTGAAAGCTGAAACCTGAGTCTAAATGGGGGGGATTCAGAAGCAAAAAAAGTCTTCAGACTTGGAAAAAAAGTCCAGTGGATGATTTTTTAACTTTTTTGGAATCAATATGACCTGGATAATCTTCACCAGCATGTTGAACTTTTACATTTTCAAAAAACTTCCAGTTTTTGATTAGCTGTAAGCTAAAAACAATAAAAAAAGGACAGAAAGACAATGGCGCTCTTTAATTTGCCTATTACTACTTCTATAGAGGAAATAAATAAACTGTCAAGATTATTTTAATTTATGGAGATGCAGCAGTATGTCTGAAAATCAAAGAAAACCATTGATGCTACAGTGTCTGGCCTTTTTTCTTCACATATTGAGAAGAGTCCTGAGTATTTTCTTTTATTTGAGGGCAAATAATACATATAATACATATACATCACTACGGTAAAAATTGTTCCTCCTGCAAAAAATATTCTTCATAAGCTGTGATAAACTGCTTTCAGTTCTGATGCAAGTTAACACACCATTAGCTTTGGTTACACTTTGGGAAATCATCACATCCTGCTGCTGTGCCTTCACCTGGCTGTCTGTCAGCACCTGCCGTGAAAGCAGGAAGCCAAACCAGGACACTGCAGGGATCACCGCCACCCTGGATCACTGCTAGAATTCCTAAGTGCAAATCTAAAGAAAGCCTTTGTCTTGTAATACTGAGCTTGTTTCATGACCAGTGAAATGACTGTATGGCAAAGAAACACTGAAGGTTGGCAGTGTTTACTTTGTTTGAAGCGAGAAATGAAGTGAGGAAATCAGCAGCTGTCTGTCATGATATGGCAAAGAAAGATAGAAATCTATGAGTCATTATCTCCTCATCCCATGACATCACGCTTGATTCATTCATTAAGCCAGATGGTAGCTGACACCTTTTCAAAACATGTTTCACAGTCACAGAAGCATTACTTGTCACATTCAGTTTCTTCATCTCCTGTGACTCTGCAACCTGATCGTCAACTCATCAGAATTTCTGACATAAAAAATGTTTTCTTTAGTTGCCATTTTCAGGTCCAACCAACATGTCCATTATTTTTTAACCATAATGGTGAAATAATTTACCATATTTACCTGTAGAAATCAGTCATTTTTATTTGAACTGGCTGAAAACGGGTGAGTGTGTGAGTGCATGGTTGTTTGTCCTGTTTGTCTCTGTGTTGCACCGTGATGGACCGGCGTCCAGGGTGGACCCCGCTTCTCACCCGTAGACAGCTGGAGATAGGCACTCGCCCCCCCTCATGACACCACTTGGGATATGCGTGACAGAAAAAAATGGATGGATGGATTGACTTTGTTTTATACCAAGAGCTTTTAAGTTATGCAGGCAAAACAGGATTCTAAGCTAAATTTATTCCCATGTTGCATTTAAGCCAGTGCACCATGAATGCACCCTGCGACCCTGCTTGGGATAAGCATGACGAAAAATAAATGGATGGATGGATGGATGGATGGATGGATGGATGGATGGATGGATGGATGGATGGATGGATGGATGGATGGATGGATGGATGGATGGCTGAAAATGGATTTTGTTATCTTATTAGGGTTTCTATATTTCCAGTAATCATTGCAGATATAGTTTTCATGGAGCTCCAACTTAAAATTACAAATTGAATCCAATGTTATCTTGTAGATAATAAGTTACCAGACAGAAAAGGTTATGATGTTGTCGTGTCGCACCAGCTGAAGAATCAAGAATCTTGAAATCATCTATAAACTTTGTCAAACTGAGCCCACAATGTAATTTCACGGAGACTTCATGGCTTCGAATGTTTACATATTGCATTAACAAAACAGTAGATGACACTTTTGGAGAAATATAAAACACCCTCAAAAGAAAAACATAAAATAAATGCACCCTTTCAGAAAAAACAAAGAGAAACTCTTTGAAGAAAAAAAGAATGTACAAGGTCCTATCATAAACTGTAAAAATAGAAATAATTCTCGATCACTCTTTTAAAGGTGGCATGGGGAGGGGGGGGGGGGGGGGGTCTATTGTTTATACAAGGATTTACACCTGTAGATAAGCTACTAAAAGTCAGTTTACAGTTTGATTAGTTTTCACCCCCTTACTAGGATAAGGACAAAGCATTTAAAAGGTTTACCAAATAAAACCAAAAAACTGAGGACTATTTAAAAACTACAACTACACACTGGAAAAGCGATCTAGAAATATGTAAAAATTTCTTAAATTAAGTGTATTTACCCTTAATTTGAGTTGGTAAATTAAATGTTCTGCCAATGGAATTTATATTTTTACTCTAAGATAATTACATAAGATGCACTTGAAATAAGACCCAAACAAATGTATTTTCTTAACTTAAATGTGAATTGTCTTGTTCTATTGGCAAAATGTCATTTTTACCTCCTCGATTCAAGAACAAATGCACTTATTTTAAGAAAAGATTACTTATCTAGATTTTTATTCTTTCCAGTGCAGAGCTGCTACACTGCAAAAACAATCTAGAAATAGGTCAAATGTTCTTAAATTCAGTGTAAATAAGATGATTTGCCAATAGAATGAGTAGTTTTGCTCTTAAAATAAGACAATTAGATAATATGTACTGGAAATAAGACAATGTAATAGCTTTTTCTTATTTTAAATGTAAATTGTCTTGTTCCATTGGCAAAGTGTCACACTTACCACCTTAATTTAAGAAAAAATGCACTTATTTTAAGGAAGAATGACTTCAATTTTTTGCCTTGTATATTAAAATGTCAAAAGGTGAAGCTGTTTTCAACACCTTTACAATAACTTGTATCAAATATTCATAACTCACCCCGGACGAGCAGGTGGGCTGAAGCGGGGGCGTTGTCAACCTGGGTTTTAGCGGTGCAGGTGTACTGTCCACCATGCCTCAGTTGAGCTTTTTTGATCAGTAGTTTAGAATTTGAACTTCCATTCTGCATTAAATGACACATGAAGAAAAAAAATTCTGAGCAATTTATCTGAAGGGAAAAATTATTTCCTCCACCCAAAATATAAAGAGATTTGCATCAATGTTGAACTTTCGTTTGAGCTATGACCGGGTGGACTCTCGCCTTGAAAAGCAAAATCCTCCAAGAAACCACACTGCACCACAAACCCAAATTAGTTTCACTAATGCAACACAAACAGAAATAAAAACTCGACTCCCTTTTATTAAAAGGGAAATTCCTACTGACAAAAAAACAGGTCATCAATCACAGTCGTAATCTGGCGGTTGTTGACTGAGTGGAGAAAGAAATGGGAAACCACGAGTTTAGGAGAAGAAGACACTGTTTGCTATTATGGGATGTTTTGGAGAAGAAGTCGTGTCCACATCATGGAAAATAAAGGCAGTTATAATTACAACTGGTAGATGTTTTTTTAAGGAGGCATGGAAGATTCATTTTGAGGTCATTAAGTCGACTCAAGCTGTACTCTGTTTTTCCATTTCAGATATCCCAGTATTAACATCAGACTCCAGAGTAGGACCTTAATCCAGCTCAATAATACATTCAGTCCCCATCAGACCGAATATCAATGATTACTCACCAGGATGCTTTCATAATGTGTGTTCTCTTTGTGCAAATCTATCACTCGTCCATTCAGGGACCAGATGAAGGTGATGTCCACCGATGGGTCATATGATGCTGCACACTCCATCCAGGTGTCGTCGCCAGCGTGAATGTCCGCATTTGAGGGTGCCAATGTGATCTTTGTTGATTCTTGATAAATAAAAGAAGCAGAGAAGCTAATGGCAAGAATGAGGATTGCTGAAACTTTTTTTATTCATCTGAGGTTCGAAAGGGAAAAACAATAGCATCAGGAGATTTTCACCAAAAAAGAAAAATGCTTAAGCATGGATTTAACAAAAGAAAAATACAGGTTTAACTAGAAGTTAGGGTTAGGTAGGAATTCTGCAAACACAGGACTTCCTTGTGTGAAAACAAAACATGAAACATAAACAATATATCAGGAACAGATTATCAAGCCATGCGAATCTGTTTAAACTAATTTCTTAAATTTCTTTCATAATGACAGCGGCAAATCCTCCTACTTGCATTTTTTTACGTTATAATCATAATTTTGTATGCTAATAGCTCAATATAAAGATAATTATGTTTTATAACTTTGATTTTGTCCTAACCTTTATGAGTTCTTTTAAGATTGGAGTTTTTTTTAATGGTTAAAGTCTGCTGTTAGTCTAAGGGACTTTTGGTTGAACCCCAAAAACAATGTCATGAATTTTTTTCTCTGGATGAAAGCATTGGTGTGGTAAAAAAAAAATGTTTTCAAAAAAGATAGGTCTGGTTCTCAAGTTTTTCTACAGCTCGGCTTCTCAGTATGACACTTTCTTTATTTTACCCCCACTGGAAAAATCTTTTATGAAAAATATTCTCAAAAATCTTTATTTTTATTCAGTATCAGTATACTTGCTCCTCATATGCATTGGTTCCTCTTATTTTTGCGGCACATTCATCTGATGATGTACAAATGCTTCAAGAAAACCAAATTTTTTAAAAAATTGTAAAGAAGGCTTATCAAAAAAGGTGATTCCAATCTTAACGATAAAAATCCATTTCATATTCCTTAGCATTTTTCTCAACAAACTGAAGTTAAACCTTCTTCATGAAAATGTTGTTTTCATTAAACATAAAATTGATTCTAATACAAGGTGGGGTGGCTGAAAATCTTTTAAAAGTATACTGACCTATTTCTATTTTTTGCAAATTTTAGCTGCAATTTAAACTACACAAGGTACAAATGAGGACTTATTGAGCAGCTTGATGGGTACACCACAACTACAATTAATAACACGTTATATTTTTAAATCAAGTGAAAGACTGACTTATGGCCATAAGTTATATGTCTTGTCTTCTGAACACATAACACACCCGGTAGTAATAGTTACACTTAATTGAGCAACTTTTAACTTTAAAATATACTTTTAGGAGTAGTTGTACTTTAACATACTTTAGCTTTTACTTAAGTAATACGCTTGGAAACTATTGCTACCCCCCACATGTAATTGGAGCTATTCAGAGATCAGGAGAATATACAGTAAACAGACCATATTGTTGCTTTAAGGTCTTTATCCTTTTCTAACATATATGCATTACCTACTGTGAATTTAGATTTTTTTTTATATGTTTCTGTTGGAAATCGGTTTTGTGGAAAAGTGTTTCCTCTGCCTGAATTTGTCATTTTTTTAATCATGTTGTATATTTGTGTTATTCTTATTTTTATCTTATACTTTAAAATGACAGAACTTGCAGTTAACTCTCTGTCTGACTACATTATTTTAGCAGTAAATCAGATGCTATGAGCAAACAATTCCTCACTAATTAAGCAGCTATTTTAACCAAGTGTTTAAACCTACTAGAATATTCTCTTGGATGACTACTCTGTACTTTAACTCGAGTAAAAATGTTTAAGCAGGGTTACTCTTATTTGAATAAAATTCATGAGAACTCTACCCACTGTGATATTGGTACAAACTTTTTGAATAGGAAAAAGTGTAATCAGCAAAAATCTCCAGAAGAGGGCAGAAAAGAGCTTTGTATATAACAACAGCAGACCTCAAACCTCAACACCAGTCAGCAAACTAAAGAACATAATCCAAATAATTAAGATAGTTAGATTTTGATGATTTTTATTGCTTAGCTAATCTTGAACCAGGAACTTGTGTTTTTCTCTCACACTATAATAATTGATCCGTTGTCGTTACCAACTGGACCCAAAGTCCCTCATGCATCTGGCCTCGAATGAATGAATGAATATCCAACAGATGCCTGTATACTATCACTGAGATGTAGGCTGTTACTCAACACCAGCTGACATTTGGAGGTTGGCCCTCTTTGTAAAAACTGAGAAGGAAAATAATTAATTGCCAGCTGACATCAGGATCTGTCCACATTATGTCACCCAGGAATCATTAAAGGTACAGTAACGGTTGATTTAGATCGGTTGCAACTTGCCTGTGACCACCAGAGGGAGTGTGTTGTTGGCCTTTCCCCAGTCGTTTTCTGCAAAACAGGTGTAGCTGCCCTCATCTGCTGGCGTCACATTGAGGATTTCCAGGCTTCCATCCTCCCAGATTAAAACCCTGAGGAAGAAACAGATGAAAAGAAAAATGAAGGTTCCTGTTTTAAATCACATGTAAGGTCAAAAGTGCACTGTGTGATATTCCACAAACCACTGGATGATGAAAAATAGTGAAATTGCTCAAAATGTAATTTTTCTTCAGAAAAAAAAAAAAAACAATTCTTTGCACAACTCAGCAAGAAGCTACATCCCTTTCCTTCAGAGGTGATTTACAGATTGATTTTTCTAAGCTTATATTTATTCATGATGGATGGTATCCCAGAAGCCCCCATCATCCACATCCTTTCCTGCTCAGGCAGAAGCCGTAGAGACAATTAGGTTGCATATCCTGCACAGTAAATTGCTTGCTGCTCCTCCTCTACAATATGTTAGTGCCAGCACTGGAACCTGGGGGGAGTAGCATCAAATGTCAGAGTTGGTTGGTATTATTAAACTCAGATTACACTTGTTTTGCCAGTAAAGAGCATGAGATGGGTCTTTTCTCTGTCCACACAGAGACAGATGACGGCAGGCGGCCGATGAATACTGGCGTCAAAAACCAACAAAGGACAACTCAACCTTCACAAAGAACACTGAACATTATGAATATAAATAAATTGATATACATATTTTATCATATTCATTAGATTTTTATTCAAATGAATTTCACTAACAAATAAATCAAATATTCAGGAGTTTGAGCGGCAAAAATGAAAACATGTGTTTCAATATTTTGAAGAGACGACTGACCTGGAGGAGTTAGAGAGCAGCTCGGTTTCTTTGCTCCAGGTCAAGGTGGGCTTCGGGGCCGCTTTGGGTCGGCATTCAATAACGGCCCGACCATTTTTAGGAGCCAGCACTCTTTTTATTGGGCTGTGGGGAAACTTTGGAGCCCCATCTGTGGATTGACAACAGTGATTATTCTTCCTAAACCAGCCTGAATATATACAGCTCCAAGTGTTATTACATGCTACTGATCACAATTTCTACAAGACAAACTGCCAGGATGAAATTTGACCACAGAAGCTGGATTCATGATGTTAGGTCGAAGGTTTGAATACTTTAATTAAACAAATTAAAATTTTCAACAGATCTCTATATAATCTCTATATATGTATTTTGCTTTAAGTAACAACCTAAACTATTTACTGTAACATTTTAAAACTAATAAGCTTTAAAGAATATATAACGCATTGATTTTATTGATACTCAGTGTTGGCCAAGTTGGACTTCTACGTATAGTGAGGGAGCAGGATCCAAGTCTTATATCACAAAATCCAATTTAAATATTCAACCTGGACTTCTACCTCAGGACAAATGAATTTTAAATTTTAAATTTCATCCTCCCAAAGATAGGTGATAGTTAAAACAGTGTTATATATCAATTATGGATTTTGTTCACCTAATTTGGTTGTTTGTCAGTTCTTAGACATTTTAGGATGCTGATGGCCTAATGTGTTTGAGTAGGTATGCATGTGTATGTTTACCTGTATGAATGGAGATGTATGTGTATATATATATATATATATATATATATATATCTATATATATATATATATATATATATATATAGAGATACTCACCGGCCACTTTATATGCTAGTAACGGGTTGGACCCCCTTTTGCCTTTAGAACTGCCTCAATTCTTCGTGGCATAGATTCAACAAGGTGCTGGAAGCATTCCTCAGGGAGTTTCATCCATATTGACATGATGGCATCACACAGCTGCCGCAGATTTGTCGGCTGCACATCCATGATGCGAATCTCCCGTTCCACCACATCCCAAAGATGCTCTATTGGATTGAGATCTGGTGACTGTGGAGGCCATTTGAGTACAGTGAACTCATTGTCATGTTCAAGACACCAGTCTGAGATGATTCCAGCTTTATGACATGGCGCATTATCCTGCTGAAAGTAGCCATCAGAAGTTGGGTACATTGTGGTCATAAAGGGATGAGCATGGTCAGCAACAATACTCAGGTAGGCTGTGGCTTTGCAACGATGCTCAATTGGTACCAAGGGGCCCAAAGTGTGCCAAGAAAATATTCCCCACACCATGACACCACCACCACCAGCCTGAACCGTTGATACAAGGCAGGATGGATCCATGCTTTCATGTTGTAGACGCCAAATTCTGACCCTACCATCCGAATGTCGCAGCAGAAATCGAGACTCATCAGACCAGGCAACGTTTTTCCAATCTTCTATTGTCCAATTTCGATGAGCTTGTGCAAATTGTAGCCTCAGTTTCCTGTTCTTAGCTGAAAGGAGTGGCACCCGGTGTGGTCTTCTGCTGCTGTAGCCCATCTGCCTCAAAGTTGGACGTACTGTGCGTTCAGAGATGCTCTTCTGCCCACCTTGGTTGTAACAGGTGGTTATTTGAGTCGCTGTTGCCCTTCTATCAGCTCGACCCAGTCTGGCCATTCTCCTCTGACCTCTGGCATTAACAAGGCATTTCCGCCCACAGAACTGCCGCTCACTGGATGTTTTTTCTTTTTCGGACCATTCTCTTTAAACCCTAGAGATGGTTGTGCGTGAAAATCCCAGTAGATCAGCAGTTTCTGAAATACTCAGACCAGCCCTTCTGGCACCAACAATCATGCCACGTTCAAAGTCACTCAAATCACCTTTCTTCCCCATACTGATGCTCGGTTTGAACTGCAGGAGATTGTCTTGACCATGTCTACATGCCTAAATGCACCAAATTGCCACCATGTGATTGGCTGCTTAGAAGTTAAGTGTTAACGAGCAGTTGGACAGGTGTACCTAATAAGGTGGCCGGTGAGTGTATATATATATATATATATATATATATATATATATATATATATATATATATATATATATATATATATATATATATATATATATATATATACTTTTTTTTTTTTTTGTGAATATTGGATATAAAACAGAAATTTAACAGGAAGGTTACTCTGCTCCAGTAACTTTAAGTCCAATGAGAGGGAGAGGGGGTATGAAAAATAATTTTTACTTCTATATACCCCTTTTCAGGCAATTTACATTAATCAGTGTTATTTATCTGGCTGTTTATACTGACAGGTTTATTTGGTGAAAGGTTTTGTTTATTTTTCTTTATGTTCATGTGAATTTAGATAGTTTGGAAATTGGAGTTTGGTTTGGTTTGATGTTAAATAGTCTCTTTCTGTGTTTATTTGGTTGTTTGTTTTAAATGTTTTTTTAAGTTAATTTATTTATTGTTGTTTGTAAAACTTGTCTGAAATAAATTCCTTTTAATTTCATTTTATTTCATTTCATAAGACCATTGCATTCCTATTTAACCAAATAACTTTAAATACAGAATTAAAATAAAGGTATAAAAAAATTATGTCTACACTAAACCACTCAAGAAAGCCCAGGGTTTGAATCCCAACCAGGGTCTTTCTACTCTAACTTCCCATCATGGGAATAAAACTTTGCTGTATTGTTTTACTGAGCTGCTTCAAACTGTTTTTATGATGACTTTAATTTCCAACATTAGACAGTTCAACTATGTATTTTATATGATACTTTTGTATTGTATAAACCTATAAACCTATAAAACCAATTAGGTCAAATCCATAATCCAATCCTTTTGTGACAAATCAACTCAGAAACCATCAATCCTTCAATGTTTGAACCTGGACTGGGTCAGAAAACTAAAACAAACCCGGCAGTTTTCCAAACAAAGTCAGTTTAAAAAGTGACCTATAAATTTAAGCACAAGATATTTTTTCAGCAACTAGAGTCAGTTTGACTCACAAAACACTCGTAGCTCCGCATTGGCATAGATGATTCCATGGCGATTTTCTGCGATGCACTGGTACATCCCAGCATCATTAGTTGTCAGCCTGCTGAACCTCAACTCTTTTCCACTTTGCTGTAGAAAAAAATTATAATATTTTCACAGATTTTATGTGGTTGAACTTAAATAAATGGTAAATTTTCCCCACTTACATGACGCTTCATGCAACATTGTATTTGATGCATTTTATATACCTGTTCACACTGATACAGTGGTTTTTATTATCTATTCAAACCTTTTCTTACTCTAGCTGCTGCTCCCAGAGGGGATTTTGGGCCTGATGACAGCTGTTTCTTGGGAAGAGCTGCACAACGGCTGATAAGCAACAGGTTCTTTCCCCTGTCATGATGTTTACCCACAGTCTCTGCTGAGCTACAGTAGCCACAAGTGGCTGTATAAAATTCAGGCTGGAGCTAAGAAGCTGTTGACTATGCTGCAGATGCCTAAGATTCAGAACAGCAAAGATTTCTAGGCCAGAATTTTACCGGTTCTCCATTTTTCAGCCAGCGAATGTGAGGTTTCGGCACACCTTTGGCAATGCAAGACATGGTGTAATCACTGTATAGGTCTTTCTCTGTGTCGACAATATGCTCCACCCACTCTGGATGAGCTGTAAATGAGGAAGGTGAGAATAATAGCAGTCAACAGAAAGTTAAACCAGAATACAGGGAACTTTGATAGTAAAACTGTAATTTGCCGCAAGCATATGGAAGCCTTAACAAGCTGAAGACTTAAAAGAGCTGACGTCCATGCTGTCAGTCAACATTTCTCTTACCTTCAACTGATACATTTGCATGATGGTGGTCTTTTCCCTTTGAGTTTACTGCTTCACAGCTGTAGATGCCACTGTCATCAAATTGAACATTTGGGAGATACAGCTGAGCACCTGCCATCCGCACCTGATGATTATCTGGTAATTTCCCGTCTACCCTCTTCCAGCGGATCTCTGGTACAGGACTGGGTTAGACAGCGAGATACACCAATATCACTCACTAGACAGGATTTCAAAACACATACAGTGGCTTGCAAAAGTAATAATGTCTCAAATTGCAATGTTAGAGCCTTAAACACATATTTAATTGGGATTTCATGTGATAGATAAAACAAACAGTAAAAACAATAAACTACACAGTTTTTTTTATTTTTTTTGCACAACGACCTTAATATAAACTAGACTAAGAAAACTTTACTTTTAGTAGTTCAGTTTTTTTATCCCTTTGATGATAAAATGACGAACTGAGCCTGGAGACTCAAACATTTTTCAGATTTGGTGTATCTTTATTTAACTCTTACAAAATGATCAAATATGAAAACATACTTTACCAGATTAGTCGATTACATTTAGAGCCTATACTCAGCACCCCTTATTAAGTACTTTACTTTTACTCCATTTGTATCTACAGTTAATTTCAGTCTCTACTAGCTATTCGCAGCTAGAAAGTGAACCCTTACTCCACTTACTTTAGCATCAAAAATCTCAAACAGCAAAATCTCAACATCAGTTAAAGCCAATGGAGAGCATATTGAACATATATTTTTAAGATTAGTCAAACTTTTTTATTTGGATTTCAGTCTGCACTTTGACTGGACCGCTATAAACCATTGATATTCCATTCATTCCATTCTCCTCCCCAATCCTGAGTCTTTTGCAGCCTCTAAACTGTCATTTTTCTCCAACTTTCTCTTCATCCATGCTAAAGAATTGAATCCCTACAGCACGATGCTGCCATCACAATTATAAGAATGGGAACAGTTCAGTTGATGTGCAGAGCGGAGCATTAATGAGTCGTGATTTTTTTTTCAAGTTGACAGTTGTGATAGTGAGAGTCAAGTCGATGCGTCTTTCTATGACCACATCACATTAATAGTCTGGCAATGCACAAATGTAACCAAGCTTTTACTGCTAACTGTAATTTTTGTTCTACTAATCCCATAGAATTAGGTAATAAGAGACCAGTTTTGCATGCCTGATGCAAACCGCCATGCAAGCGAGGCAGGGGGGACTTTCAGTTGTCAAGATGTGAGTCAGCACAACCTAATTAAATGGACTAGTAGACTTTTTGGTTAATTCCCCAGTGCAAATTTAGTGCTTTTGCACTGTATGATCTGATATAATACAAACCTACACTTCAAGAGTCATTAACTAAACTCCTACAAGAAGATGGAGCGATCATAGAGGACATTTTGCTACATGCATTAAGAGGAAACATTTCCTTCCCTCAACTAAAAGTGAAATGTTCAATTTTTTGCTTACTTCCCCAATGCAAAACATTCCAAGATGATGTCTTGTCCAACCAAAGCAGTGGTGTGTGGGAACTTCACTCTAAGGTCTGCAGGGTATTTCCTGATAGGGCCTGAAAAATATGGACAATACTACGTGATAAATTATTTATGATTGTCATGATTGATTTTTTATACAGTATCTATTCAAACTTAAAATTCTATCTGGTTTTCAAACCACTTAAGACATTATTAGGGTTTAATAATATATTCTGAAGTTTCAAATTATGTTTTAAAATGTTTTAGAGCCTTGAAGAATCTCTACACAAAATTCTGTGGGGCTTCTCTGTGCTTATTTTAGTGAGTTTTCAAAAGCTGCAACACATAAAATCCAACACTGACTGTTCCTAAATAAAGTCTATACAGTGTGTATGTAAATACTAACGTTCCACAGAAGGCTTGAGGGGAATGTAGTTGGAAAATACACTCTTAGAGATGGAAGGGCTGGATGCCATGCAGGAATAGTTGCCCCTGTCTGACGATTCCACCTTGGAGATGTAAAGGTTGCCAGTTAACTGGGAGACAAAGTGACGCTTGTCCAGTAAGATGAATTTGGGGAATTCATTGAGGATCCATCGAAATGACAGCTGGCCTACAAAGAGAGGGAGACATGTTGAAATGCCAGCTGTCAATCAAGGGTCCCGACACAAGACACCATTAGTGGAGACAGATGCTGAGCCTGGCGTTGGCTCAAACATATGGACAGGTGAGCAGCTATAAACAGTTATCCAGTTCAGAATCAGGTTTATTGCCATTGTTAGTGAAGGAGTTCACAAACTAGGAATTTTTTATGGTACAATCGTGCAACATGAAACATAATATGGAATAGGTAAATAAAATTATAAAAATGTTTAAAACACTGTGGGTATAAGGCATGCAATAAAATAGACTAATTGCCAGGTCTTAAAATGGCATTTACCTACATTGTTTCCCCTGAAACCTAAATGGACCTCTGACCTCCATAGTCTAACAAGCAGAGGTAAACTGTAATATTTCTGGTTAAAATTGATATAATGTCCTTGGTAAAGCTGCAATAAGAGAAAGCCAGTGCCTACTTTATTTATTATATATTATACTTCTTTATTAATTATATAACAAACACTGATATTTGTATAAAGGACTTAGCTAATGCTTTCTCATGTATATTCAAAATATGTGAAATACATAAATGAAAGGATCAACTAACAAGAAGGGTTAATCAACAGGACATGTCCTTTTCATTCCATAATGTCACTGAGAGTTCAGAGCCCTACAATATTACCTCCCTACCAGGGCTGGTAATATAGATAATGACTGATTTCTAAAATGGAATATTGTTGACAATGATTTTAGAAAGGTTCACGCAGTGGTAATTCACATTTAAAAAGATTAGTATGAACATGTTAGGTTACTTAAAAACACAAGAATGTCTAACTTTTATTCAATATCATTTTTGTGCTGTTTTTGGACCAGTTGGGTTGCATAAAACAAGATAATACTCTTTTATTAATGCATTTACTAAACTATAACATCAGATGTGCATCATGTACTCTATACCTGGGTAATGTGCAGGTGGAAAGCAGAGAAGGACTGCCCCCTGGCCCTCCTTCACATGCACTGCATGCCTCTCTTCCGATGAAAATAGATCCAGATCTGAGAAAAACAGAGATAGAAATAACATTGACCCTTTTGCACACTGAACTTCAGGCTCTTGTTTATCAATATTTATTATATGACCAATTTTTACAAATAAAAACATAAAGTTTGTTTGAATCAGAGCATGTGAGCAGAGTGGAGTGTGGGGTGGAACAAATATGGAGGAGGGCAGAACGGTTTTCAATTCAAAGGCCTCAAAGATAGGGTCAAGATTGAGGTCGGGGCGAGGATTTCGCTGCAGTCCAGTTTGCTCCGATGCGCTCACAATGTTAATTTAAAAAGTTGGATTGTAAAATTTGTAAAATAGCATTTATGTGACTTAAGTGTGATTTTTTGACAATTAATAATTAAATAGGATCGTGGGCCAACATGAATCCCAGGCCCTGGCATAATCACATGAAGGTAAAATGTCTGAAATTTGAGCAAGCATGGAGGTATTTCGCCGGAGCAACAGGAAAATTAAGGTGAGTATGGAACGGATTTTGAGTGGAGCATCCTAGCACAGCTTTGAGTGGCGGAGCGAATGAGCGAACATCTACCTGAAAGGGGAGCGGCTGTGTTCTGCTCTGTTCACATGCTCTGGTTGGAATATAAACTTTAATAAGAAAAACTGGAGATTTGATAAGCATGTCATGTATGAGTTAACAGCTTTAGGGAAGCTGTGTAACATCTGGACAGAGCTGCCAATCACTACCTAAACTCCAATCCAAACAACTCACATCCGAACTGGACAGAGGCCTCTTGGCTGACGACCGTGCCGTACATGTTGGTAGCCAAGCAGGAGTATTTCCCCACATGTTCTGTTCTAAGGGGATTGCTGATAATCAGGTTGCCTCTCGATAAACTGTAGTGGCTGCCATGTTTGTTCACATCAATGTCCGTGTTGTTCAGCTTCCATCTGCATTGAAAACAACTTGGGTCAAGACATTTGTATAGAAAAATTGTGATTAGCACTTCCACATGAAAGGTCACAAGTCTGTAGGTCTAAAGCTGCAAAAATATATGTTAATTAAAAATTTAACAGACTAAAATCAAAAGCAATCTGACTTTTCCTCAGTTTTTACGAAACCTTTTCAGCATTAAATCCAGGATTTTTTGTCAATTCTGTCGACTCAAGTCAAATCCAAAACAATGACATTCTCCTGGATCATTACGGTATGTTGCCATGACCCAGATGAATGACTTTGTTTGTAGGCAAAATATACGTTCTCCATTCTGTTCTCAGACACCATGAAACATATCAGAAACAAATAACTATCAAATTTTAATTTGTTGTTTGGAAAGTTTGAACATACTGTGTTGCCAAGAGAAACCCATAGGGAACTCTCAATATGAGCAGAGGTCAAAGCTAATTCCTTCCCTGACATCTGATTCTGGGCTTTCTGTTAGAAAAATCATTTTAGGCAAAGCAGAGACCAATGTTTACACAGATTTGCAAGTTAATTAAAATGACCAGAATAAAATGCAGCAAAATAGGGTGAAGATACTGTACAATGAGAATACTGTTTATTAGCCTGACGTAGTCCTGCTCAATTCTAGTCAGAATATGAGTCTGATACTGCTCCATAGAGCTGTGATTATGGGGCGTGTTTCGAACGAACCAGGAAAAAAAATGCCTCTGCACTCATTTGGATAGACCTACAACCAATAAGAGCAACAGAGTGCGTGACGTATGTTAAGCAACGCATAGTTGTTGTCAACAAAAATCAAAGCATGCAGTTTTACGCCTAGAATAAGAAGATGAGCCTTGATCGCGTTTCTCTGTTCCTCTTTTAAAATTAATTTGCTGTCGATATCTTCTAGAACAGACCTAATAGCAGAATCTACTCACCTCAACTCTCCAGCGGCAGCCATTGTTGTTGTCACCCAAGCGCGCTTTGGTGACATGGTTGATTACGTTACCGTTGATCATCTGTCAATCATTGTATAAAGCCCGCCCTGACAATTTGATTGGCCCGCCAGATATTGTGCGAGCATACTCGCGCTACTATTAAGCAATGCCAGACCGAACTTCCCGACCTCAAACGTTGTGGGCGGGACTAAGTTCGGAATGGCGCCCAGGCTAACTGTTTATGCCTTAAAGGCAACAACAAAAATTATGTCATGTTTTTCAATTTAAATTAATGTGCAAGGTAAAATGCACCATACGGAAAAAAACTTGGGAATCATTTGTTTGTCCAATGTATTTAAAATTATGGTCAATTATACACATTGCGCTCTCCATACTAAAATTGTCCCTTGCTAATACCTGAAGTCATTATTTTTAAATTTTTGGTACATTTTCAGTGATATCTACTGTTAGTACTTCTAGCAACAGAAGAGAACTTTATTCCCCCTTAAAATATTTATCATGGTTAGAATATAGAGGCAAAGGAATTTTTGATTATACCTCTTTTTGCACATGGTCATACAGAGACCTGTGCCCTTTCCTACTGACTGATCTTTCCAGCTCACATCTCAGTTTTTTTTTTATGATTTATATAATATATGACATTTTTATGCTAATTTAGTCATGTAATTGATCCTGCTGAATCAATAATCAATATTCTATTTTCAATTCACCAAGAGAAGTCAACTGAAAAACACATCTAGAATTAGATCAGAAAGCGTTCATAAAATTATTTTTCTTCCATACACACCGAGTATATAAGAAAATACATACCAGGTTTTGCATTTTACCAACAGACAGAAAGAAGAGATACAGAATTCAATGAGTTAGATTTATGGTAGCATATGTCACCTGTATGTGGCAGGTGGGTTGGCTCTAGCCTCGCAGGTCATGATAATTTTGGCTTCAGGCGACTCCTCAGGGTAGATGGTATCCACCGGCTGCTCCACAAACACTGGACCAAAACCTGTGGCATCATCTGCTGATAAGAAACAAAGAAAAATAAGATGGAAATCAGAAGCACAAGCTGCTCATATCAAAAAGTTCAAGTTGATTTTATTTTAGTCTTTTTATGCACTTAGTTTGACAGCATTATGGAAAGGAAGCACTACTCTGTAACTTACTAAATAATAATCCTTGTTACATAATTATGTGTTTTTCAAATGCATTGCAATGATGAAATGTGTTTTGAACTCCTGCATCGTGTCCCCTATTATACTAGATGCATAATTTTGGCCCTGTTGCAAATGTGGCAGAAACCTTGAGTTGAGACCTCTTGATAAGAATGCAATCTCCTACAATTTTTCATTAAAACAGACATAGCAAGCAGTGGCATGAATAAGACATAATCAGAACTCTTGCCCATGAATAAGGAATGAGACAAAATGTTCCCAAACACTGATAATTCTCAGAGATCGAGTGTGTATAGGTGATTAGAATGCGAATGGGATGAGTTTATGAATGCATGTGCACAGGGGTGTTATTCCCCCTGCGTCTCTATGTTCTATGAATGCACAGCTGACACCTCAATGGGGAATTCTTTCTATTTTAGACAGTAATATGAAGATTTGCTTCAGAAATAAATCAGGCCAATCCTAGAGATTAAATTACTCTAGCGCCATACAATATACTGCCTTGAAAATCTTTTCATACACACTGATTTTTTTCCCATTTATTTAGATTACAACCACAAACTTTAATGGGTTTTATGAAGTAGTGCATCGTTGTGAAGTAGAATGAATATGATATATGGTTTCAATATTCTTCGAAGATTTGAAACTAAATTAACTGTGCATATTTGTGTTCATAGCAGTTCTTTGTCAAACCAGTATTCATAGGAATCTTTTCCATTTCCATTAGTCCATTAAAGCCTTTTGGAGTACATCTCTATCAGCTCTGCAGTCGGAGGTTGAATTTTGGCCTGACAGTGTAGTTGCAATGCCATGTCCTGTAGCCTTAGCAGTCCTCCTTGAAATGATTATATTTGGGATATGATATTGTTTTATGACCCAATAACACTTTAAACCTCATACCTGTCTGATGGGTTCCTGGGTATTAATGATGCTTTATGTTCTAAAATGTTCTCTTGCAAATATCAGAGGCCTTCACAAAACTGCTGTATTTCTACAGAGGCTATATTATACTGTTTGCTACGGACGAGGATTAGGGCCACTGAAAAAAAAAAAAAAAAGTTAACTGATTTTTAAATTTTATTTCAGTTTAACATGGGAAAAAAGTCAGAATTCTGACTTTTTTCTCAGAATTCTGACTTTAATCTCAGAGGTGAGCTACTCAGAGGTGATCATAGAACATATTTGTACTTTAGAGGTGGAGCCAACAAAGACAATGCAAAGACAATGTTTTTAATGAATAAAGGAAGAGAGAACAGGAATCAGACTGAGACATGACTCGAACAAGTGGGTGAATCTGATAGGAGTTTAATTTTTTTATTGTTGTTTTGCACAATATGCTTAACTAAGTATTTTTTGTTGTTGAATATTAGAGATTTTGCAGATATATGTTTATACATACATTGTTTAGATTTACTTATGTTTTTCTAACCCTTTTATAGAATAGAATAGAAAATCCCTTTATTGTCCCAAAATGGGCAAATTTACAGCAACAGAAAGATTATTGAAAATGGTCACACAAATGTGGACCTTAGAAAAATGTATAAGAATAACCTAATAGGGAAGAGTTAAAATATAAACAATAAAATTCTGTAAAGTGTTTTAACAATATAAAACTGGAGAATAAATAACCAATATGCAGCTATGGACATTTTTACAGTAATTTGAAAATAGCAGCAACATCAGAGATGTGCAGAATGACAGCAGCAGGTTATTTAACTGACTAAGGTTTCTATCATTACATTTTATTTGTTCCTGCTCCCGGTGGTTGGAACCTTTATTCCACTCTGGATTCTTGTGAGTGTAGTCTTTGTTCACTTTAACTTTTTAAAAATAAATAAATAAACAAACAGTTTTGAAAACCTCGGTATTCATTCTTTTCCTGCTTTGTGTGTCAACTTTCACGGTTGCTAAGCAACAGAGCAGTAAAACCCGCCGAAGGGTGGATCTGTTCGAATTTACAGACAGAACTCTTCCGGCCTCCTTATTTTCAAGGACTTCGAAGGATCCAGTCTAGGTAGACCGTGTCCTTGGAGGATGCAGCCCAGGTTTTTGGACAGAGCCTCTGATTGAGAACAGGGCTGCCCGCACTGACGCGGCTCAGGGATTACGTCACACGGAGCGTCGTGCGCAGTGAAATCAGGACATTTCCTCACTTTCTTAAAAAAACCCGGGACGCCCGGGACAGGACGTGAAATACGGATATGTCCCGGGAAATACGGACGTTTGGTCACCCTAGTAACCACTAGTGTTACTATTGTGACTTTAGAGTAATACATTTTCAGTGTACAACTATAAACATAGAGAGGCTTAACTATGTGATTCATTATTGCAGTGGGACTGCAGAAAAATGTTTATCCGGTTAAACCAAAATGATTAATACCATGATTGAAGTTAAATATTGTGGCATATTAATAAACAATCAAAACTGAACAAGACAGATGACAAGAAACTGTCACAGAACCTGTATATTTAAGAGGCATTAAAAAAAGAAAAAACTATTCTGTGCCTGAACGTGTGTCCTACTATCTGACGTTTGACTTGCACATCAGATAAGAAGCAGCAGAAAACAGATATTCATTTTTCTCTGAATATTGCTTTAAAGTCTGTGTGGAGACTTTAAAGGTTAAAGGTTCCACACAAAGCACAGTTATGTTTTATTTAGTTTGTATTGTTTTATTTTGGGTCCTTCAATGGTTGACATGGAGTTGGCAGGTGGAAATGCAGATGTTTAGAGTTAAATTCCTCTATATGCATGAGAGTTGCTGCTTCATGGAAAAAGTATCTTGATTTATCAAAAGGCACTGCAAGATAGAAATGTCTTGATTTGTCTGCCATTCTCCCTAGTTTTGCTACAGCCTCCTTGATTTCATCCCCAGGTGTCATCCCTCTAGAGGGTCTATTTCTTTTTTTATCACCAGCTGCCACTCAAGTAATCAGTCCATTCAGTAGCTTGCTTGCTTCTTGATTGCCTCAGTCCACACTCCGTTCTTACTGGTGACTTCATGTTTTACTGGCTCCATGTTCCTAGATTTTTTTCCCCCATCTTTATTACGACCCCAAAATTCACCATTTTTAACATTTAAGGTCCAACTTTGACAACTCATCGCAAAAATTTTAGCTGTCTCGTTGAATAAATAAGCATCTAAATCATCTTTATTTGTTAAGTGTATGTGCAAAAACAAGCAAAAATAACAAACCACATAAGGAAATGTGATTTATAGGAAATGATTGCAAATGCTCAGTGCAGTTTCAAGCATTTGCAGAAACGTAAACACAAATCTCCCTAAGCTTTTTCTCAGATCCACCCACTCTCATTCCTATAATAAGACATTCCAGAAAACACAGAAAATCTCTTTTAAACAGCTATTTCAATCACTTTATTTTGCACCAGTCTATTAGTCTCTTAGTTTATTTGTTTTTTATTCCCTGTATTAAATATTTCCTCTGTTTCCTACTTTTTGCACATCTCGCCACTGGATTCTCGGCTTTGACTTTTTCAACAGGCGAGTAATTATTCACACAATAGTCAACTGTGAGTCCTCCTACTCATCAACAGAAAAAGAAAAAGAGCTGGACAGTCTTTTTATAGAGAAAGCACTGCACAAAGAACATGGAATAAATGGTACACAAGGAGCCTTCAGGACAGATTTATTTATTAAACACAGACAGATCTATTCAACACAATAGTAAAAACGTTTAATGTCCTAATTACAGCCCCACCTCATTTTAAAGTTTGTTTGTTTTTTTTGTCACACTTGGCTTTATATAATAACAATTTAAATAGCAGTTTAACAATTTATATTTAATCAAATGTTGTTTTAGCAGTGTGTCTATTTCCGTTTGCATGGTTTGTTTTTTCATCCCCATAATTATTAACATTTCTATAGAAAGTAAATTCATTAATGATAAAAATTTTAATTCTCTCTATGCCCATTGATGTTTCCCACATGTGTGGAATGGTTTATTTGCACGACCAGCTGGAAGTCCAAGTGGGACAGATAGCATATTGTGTCCTTGAGGAAAAACGGGCACAGAGTAGTAATAATTCCCTGCATACCCCTGAGCCACGTAATGAAGCATAGTAGTAAACCAAATTGTCCCGGCAGGGGATAATCCACATTTTTATTCTGTATATAGTATATTTGACATTTCTGCTTCTAATTCTCCTGTTGCATATTTTTTTGGTTATAAATGGAGGCAATTAATGTGTAACTGTAATTTTAACAGTAATCTCGAATCTTAATAGCTAAAAAAATTTATTTTCTGCAGTTTTTACAATTCTGGAGCAGTTTTATATACAAGGTTTAAGTGAACGATACAATTTGATTTTAACTTGAGTCATTTTATCATTGTTCATAAGGAATGTCAATTTAGAATAATTCCATAAAAAATAATGAAGTCAAACAATCTATGCTGCAGCTTTCAGTTACTGCCATTTAGGTTTGTAATAAGATAAAAAAGTATATAAAATGATTACTTTTGTTAGAGTGATAACTATCCTGTGTTTCAACCAGAAGGGTCATAAACTTTTATGACCTCCTGTAGGTCATGAGGCAGAATCACACGGATGTGTGACTTCCATCCAGCCAGTTGGTCAATTCACACTATCTTGTTACCTGCATCCTCCCAGACAATGATTACTGGCTCTTCTGTTTTAGGCCCGCCTGTTTGATGTTGTAAACTGTTAATAAAAGGCTTTGCTATGAAGGGATCGGTGGGAGAAGGGGATGGCTTTCCAAGCCAGAATCTTCTCTCCACCCGGCACACGCTGACGTCACAAAATCCTGTCTCTGTGTTGATCATTTTCCTTTTAATCTTTTAAACTCACATTTCTCTGGATTAAAACCCAACAACTTTGTCTTATGAAATTTAACTGTTGGTCTAAAAGAAATCTGACAGTTTTAAAGAATCTCTACTATGTGTAATTTTAAATCATTTAGCAGTGTAAACTATTATTTTAGACCATCTTCATTCAGTGTATTCTCATTATCAGTTCGTACGAAATCGTACGAAAATTTATGCACAGTAATTTCGTACGTTTTAGACTTTTTTTCGTCGTATTTTTACGTCTTGCCTCGAGACAAGATATCCTTGCGCATGCGCATGTTACGCACCATTCAATAACATAGAATTTAACATACAATTAACCCTAACCCTGACCCTAGCCCTAAGATACAAAACAGCAAGCAACGTAGTTCGAGTGGTCTCTGTTTACAAGTTCATGTGCATGCCTGTTCACAGACTGTGACTTTCGTCGTTACAAATGTTTATTCTATAAACTCTGATGAAGACCATTTTTTTAGTTTGCTTATTTCACAAGGTGTAATAGTACTTGTTTTAACCCTGGGAGTCTAATCAGGTTGTAAATGAGCTATTCTAGAAACTAATTTATCATTTATTTCTTTTAAGAAGCAATTCTAAATGCATAAGTCTGCAAAGGACATATGTTATAAATAACCAATTTCTTCTCTTTGTCCATTTTCAAGCCAAACCTCAATGTTTCCCTTTTGTGCCAAAGGGATAAAAGTTTTGCAGGTTTGTGTTGACATGGGAGTTGAGACAACTTGAAGGTATGACCGACAATCTTCTTTCAGCTTCAAGTTTCAAGGGAATCATCTTATCTATTGCTGGTTCCACATGCCCTTTTTCGCAAAGAGCTATTTTCCACTTGCTGTGCATGTACACTTTTAGTGTTAATATATCTAATGGGCTTTGGTCTGGATGGCCTTGCTCCTGTCCTGTGTTTCAAAAAGTTACATGGGTGTTTCCTACATTCTTTGGAAAAAAGGTTTGCTATACTCAAGTCTGACTAAGTTTCTATGAAGGTATCTAGTTTAATATACTGAAGCAGAGTAGCCAGAAATAGTCATGTAAAATAAAATACCCAAAACTATCAATGAGAAGTAGCTGCAAGAAAATGCTTTCTGATAACATTGTAATTCCCCTTGTAGAAATGTCTACAGGTCTACAAACTTAGTTCTATGGTAGCGTTTCCAAAAAAGTTCAAAAATAATCCACTGGACTTTGTTTTCAACTTTGAAGACTTTTCCCTTCCTATACAGGAAGCTTTTCCATTTAAAAATGTCAGAAATAGTGTCGAGTTTAAAGCTTTATACAGCAGCCCAACAAAGCCTTGTTTTTTGTTTAGAAAACATGCAAAGTTAAACGGACAAACGGGTCCATCCCTTTGGAATGGGGGTCGTTTGGCATCTTTGTTAGCCTGCAATGCCCGATACCTGTCTACATCTCTGAAAGGGGGTTGGTTAAAGGGACTTGTTTACCTGGCTGAAAGGTAAGGGTCTTCTGTTCCCCTGTAAGGGGGTTGGGGTTGCGAGAATAGCGGGAAGGGATCAACTCAATTGCTGCATCGTAGGTTTTTGAAATCTGAGTCCACTCCCTTTGATTCAGGTTGGTTTTTCCTTTCTTAACATAGATGGCTTCCTTCACGCCCCTCTTAAACCACCTATTTTCTTTTTCCAAAATGTGAACATTCTGGTCCTCAAAAGAATGTGCTTTGTCCATATAAGGACTTATTCACACATAGGTTTTGTTTTGTGGGAAACCAATGATTAGTTATTTTATAAATCCTTTGCTCCAATAATTGAGGAAGGACAGAGGATAACATTGTGACAAATATATTTTTACATCAGTATGATGTAAAAGTGGTGAGATTGATAGATACTGTCAGTTTATTCTCATTATGAGTTCGTATGAAATCGTATGAAAAGTTATGCACCGTAATTTCGTACGTTTTTGACGTTTTTTTCGTCGTATTTCGTCGTATTTTTACGTCTTGCCTCGAGACAAGATATCCTTGCGCATGCGCATCTTACGCACCATTCAATAACATAGAATTTAACATACAATTAACCCTAACCCTGACCCTAACTCTAAGATACAAAACAGCAAGAAACGTAGTTAGAGACATGAAGAAGTGATTATTGCACTGTTTTTCCCAGTTTTACGTCCGTTGGCGGATCTGCTTTTTTCGTCTGTCTGCCTGCGCATGCGCACTGATCTGTTTTTTCGAGGAAAAACGTCCAAAACGTACAAAATACTGTGCATAACTTTTCGTACGATTTCATATGAACTGATAATGAGAATATGTTGATACTGTAGCTGGACTGTCTATGGCTTGTATCTTGGCTTGGGGAGCACAACACAAATAAACCACCAATATGTCATCTGGCTTCAACCACTAATGCAGACCATCACTCACTCTATACACTTATTATACTTCATACCCAACCTCAGCTTCTTTGCAAGTAACAAATTATTTGGCACTTCTTTGGCCAGTTTATCTTGTTAACCTTAGATTTACATTCTCCTCTTAGAACAGAAAAACTATGGCGGTTCACACACTGTGCACTCTGCCTTGGAGCAGCAGAAAATCGTATGTGCAGTTAATAATATACAATATAAATAGCGGTCTTATGGGAAAAGTTCAACATGTCAGTACTAAAACCTTCTTCTGTAAGTTTAACACTGATTTTTCTATAATTAAGTTATGTCTAGAACATATTTTTTTCTGATAAGCTTATAAAACTTGACACCTTTTCCTCTTACTTGAAGAAAATCAATAAAGGCTATTTTTGGTCTAGCTTGGAGCCAGTCACAGTTATTCCTCATGTCTCCACAGCCGCCTCAACATGTGCGCAGCTTGAAACACACAAGCTCAAATGAGTCAATCTGAAACTAGATAAGGCTGTTTTATACTTACTTAACTTTATTCTCATATATATTTCTGTACTGAAGAGAAATGTATTATTTATTCTGGAAAAAAAGGTGCATACATACAGAGTAGATATACATCAAAATGTTTTCATATATTCACTTCTTAATCATGCACCTTCATTCCTTTGATACTTTATTAGGCTCACCGTGCAATAACAGGGCAGGAAGTACTAGCAACAACAAAAAATCGAATGACCTAGGTTTGTTGCAGTTACAATAACCACACTGCTCCACAGTCTGATTCAAGTTTGGAGCCCATCAGTTTCCAATTAATAAGGTTCATACAAATTAATCTTTCTTTGAACAGAATGCATTTTTTATACAGTGGGCTGTAATTTCAACTCTTTAGACAAGCCATTAAGTGAACCTCTGATCCTTGGCGGCTGCAGTTTATCATTTTTTGTAGTAAGCAGTCAATCTCTGTAGAAATGAAAATGAGCCATGACTAAAAACCATATATAACTGACAATTTTATAGTCTTGGGCCCTAAAAGAACTCTTTAAATTAGGAAAACAGCATAATGCTCACTAGAATACTATGACAGCAACCCTTTTTTTTTTTTTTTTGCCTAAATTTCTGATGTTAACACTAGAACAGCGATAAAATATGGAGATAAATAAAATTAAAAGACTAAAGGAAGGGTCTTTGTCAACACTCAGAGTCGATTTTGGCAAAAATGTGAAAAAACCATTGCATGATGTACACAGCCAAGATAGCATATGCATTCCCCCAGTGCCAATTTTGTGTTATATCCATTACAACTGGTCTCTAATGGTGTATGTTATCAGTGACCAAAATAAATATTGTCACTAATGTTTAATATACCTACAAGTTAAAAAAAAATCTACTTGGCAACTATTTAAAGGCCAAAAAAATCATTCAACAACTTACCAATTGAGGCAATTATTTCAACGTGCAGCTGTATTTTCATTTTTAAAGTGCAGAGCGAGATATGGTATTCACAATGGAAGAGATTTAAGCTAGGAAGTTGTGCAATACCCAAGACCCACAGCTCAGAATCAGATAGCATTATCAGTTATGACAGTGTAGGAGAAACAAGAGTCAACAAGTTCTTCTTGCTAGAAATATTATCAGCCTTACCTTCAAAAGGTTCAAGCACTGCTCCTTGGTCTAATGGATCTGCAGTAGAAAAAGATATGTTAAACATTTAATTACAAATCTGCAAACACACTACAAATGTACAGTTAACTGCAATTATTAAGACTCACAGTTGATCTTTCATATTTATAAAAGCCTGATAATCCAGTTTTTAAATAAACATACATTTGAGTCAAGAAAAAAACCTTTACCGCTTAGAAAATATAGACACAAACCACAAAATAAAATACATAGTGCTAGCTGCCAGATGTGTTTTTTTTTTTTTGTCTATTCTTAAATGATTAAGCATTAAAAATTAGTTGTTAACAGTTGCACAACAAACAGGTCGCTGCCTTATTAGTCTCAAGGCCAAAGTAAAGCCACCAAAACATGCACACATGCTATATTATAGATGCGGCGTAGAGTGAGCTTGACATTTTTTAAGCTGTCATAGTGATAATGTCACATCACACTTTGTTCATGATGCACCTAAACAAACATGTCAACTAGATGTCCTCTGACTAAAGTGAAGACCGGAGAGTGTTAGCTGACTGCTGTCTTTCTCGATACAAAACCCATTATAAAAATATATCAAAACTTTTAAAGCAGTGCAGCATCTAGTGGATATAACTGTTAAATCTGTTTGTGTATGGCAATGTTTTAGATAGATAGATAGATAGATAGATAGATAGATAGATAGATAGATAGATAGATAGATAGATAGATAGATAGATAGATAGATAGATAGATAGATAGATAGATAGATAGATAGATAGATAGATAGATAGATAGATAGATAGATAGATAGATAGATAGATAGATAGATAGATAGATAGATAGATAGATAGATAGATAGATAGATAGATAGATAGATAGATAGATAGATAGATAGATAGATAGATAGATAGATAGATAGATAGATAGATAGATAGATAGATAAAATGCATAATAACCTTTCAACTTTAATAGCTAAGTATTTCATTAAAGCTTGTTTTTCTTCTTAGTTACTCATTAAATGTTTATAAAGCACAAACTGACCAAATCTAACAGTGAAATTATATTATTAGGGCCAACACTTTAGTGTGGGTTTAAAGAAAGTAACACAATTAAATAAATACTGGAAGTACTGAAGCTTAAAAAAACATCTTAGTATTGTTATGTCAATGTTAATATAATATTCACACTTCTAAAGAAGTAGTTTAAAAAAAAGTAACATAAAATATCAGGGTTATCTTAATAATGAAACATGATTATTAAATCAATAATCTTTGAACTTTGGATATGATGTTTTAATAACCCAAATAATGGATTAAAAACAACAGACATCTGTGTTGCTTTGCTCAGTTTTTTTTTTATAAAAAAAAAATTGAAACGGTTGTTTTATCTGTCAATTTATGGTTTTTGATTAGTAAGGAGTTATTGCAATTAATCAATCACAAACCCTGTTATTTACTTGATTATGGTTTTTAACTGAGTTCAGCGTCTGCTCTGCCGATAATGCAAGCGTAGAAGAAGAAACGTGCTGTTTACCTGTGCAAAGAAAGAAACAACGAAAGAAAAATGTCTGAGGACTTCAGTGTTGAGGAAGAGCATGAGTTCTTTGCCGAGCTGAATGCGCACTTTTGTCTGGTTTGGTCTGCCGCGGTTTCCGTAGACTCGTGAACGCGCTTTTAGGAAATCCTATACACTACTGTTTATGCTCTAAAAACATTCTAAATGACTTTGTTTCGAGTAAATTCTGGATGCTACCCACTCAGGACACTTGGAATACATTGGACGAGCAGTATGGAGGAATATTGACACGTTTTTTGTGGACTTTTATGGACCTTTCTGCCTGGGGCGCCATAGACCTCCATTATTTGAATGTCAGCAGACAGCAAGAAGCCTCCCAGATCTCCAGATGCATTTGAGATATCAAAAAAGTACTCTAGAGTGTTGTTCAGCATGGGGGTGAGTAGAAAATAAAGGCTAATCATGTTTTGGGTGTACTATTCCTTTAATGTCAACTAACTGAAGGGTGAAAGATGATTGAGAATTTAAATACGCAGGCAGTCATTATCTTTTTTATTTACTTGTTTTTTGCAAGTATCGTTGTGATTGCTGCTTGGCCAAAGATTAACATCTTGGTAAAATTGTCACCAGTTTTTCAGCAATCGATCCTTCAATGCGAGGAACATTGTCTAAAAGACAGCAGTTTGAATAGGCAATATACTATAAAACACATGATGCTGTCACTTGTATACCCATAGATTGTTATGTATGAAGGGCTTTATTCTAACAGCCTTATTCTAAAAGCACGTCAAGGATGAGTTTTAGTTTTCCATTATTTTAAAAGAGACCTGCAAGTGAGAAGGCCAGGAGATGAAGAAGCAGAGCGGAGCACAGCATGGTGTTGAAGCTAGAGCCACCTGGTGGGGTCACAGCTAGAAACCTGGATGATGAAACATGAGCAGGACCTCTTGGTTTTCCTACATGGGATGATAAAACAGAGAGGAAGAACATTTAAAGCACAAAACATCTCTGGAGAGTAACACTGCATGAATACGCTTTACTTTTTTAAGTGCTGTAAGAATATTTTGGCTTTTAGTGAGAAATACTAAAAGTATAAAAGTTTTTTTTTAACCATTTCAACAATAACACTAGTTTTAGACACTAGATTTGAAAAAAAAAAAACAGCTTGCTTTCTCTTGCAGCACTGTATGATGATTCAAAATTCACAAAAACTGAAGAGCAAATTTCCTGCGAACTCTTTATATGTCTCTCTACTGCAGAACACCCACTTATGTTTTTTCAAGACATTTTGGCTCATATGTATAAACCTTAAACTTTGTGGTCCTTCTATCCTTAAATTATAGTAGAACCTTCAGTTCACCCTCACAAACAATTACAGGTGCTTGGCTCCAGCTACTCAGAGATCCACTTCCATACAGAAAGCCTACATTCATATCTTCAGGTAACACAGAGTACATGTCAGACTTAATAATATTACTAGCGATAGTTTCAAGGTAATGCTTTATTGTATATCTCGTACCATGTCTTTCAGTTGCGCTGTTCTTTTTTCATCTCGTTGCAGGTGATGAAGCAGACTGAAAATGTTTTGTCATTATCTCCTTTCTATCTCTTCTTTCTTTCATCTTTTTTTCTTCTCTTTTTTCCTTTTTCTTCTTCTGTTTTTCTGCTCTATTTACATTGCAGTGTCCATATAAACTGTAGAACTCCCTGCATAATTATAATAAAGCAATTTATACTGTATGCAAGAAACAAGTGGAGCTATACAGCAATTGCCATACTGCTACACTTGTGAAAGTAAAATCTGTTGGGCTCTTTTTGGCATCAAGAAAATTATTCTTATTGCCACATTGCCAGACAGGACACTGTAAAAAAAAAAAAAAAAAAAAAAGAACCTTCAGTTTCATTTAATTAGGCTTTTAACAAGTAAAGCATCCGTTTTCCCGAAAGAAAAAAAAAAATTGGAGAAAAGAGTAAAGCTAAAACAAAAAGTAGTTTTAATATTATATAATTTATCCTTGCAATAGCACAACTAAAAAACTGAAAGTCTCTGACCACTTGTGCGCTATGCTAGACACAGCATGGACGCATTTAATGAACATCCATCCATCCATCCATCCATCCATCCATCCATCCATCCATCCATCCATCCATCCATCCATCCATCCATCCATCCATCCATCCATTTGCAGCTCTTAACGGGCTTTAACAACCAATCTCTCACAGTGTCTGTGAACACATTATCACATGTCTCCGTTTCCTGTCAGCCTCAAAGGCAAAGTCCCCTGATAAACTGACATTGAATGATTGACATGTGGATAATTGTGGGAACATTCTTAAATTGGACGCAATCACTTTCCAAAATATACTAACAGCACGCCGCCCATGATGGAACCGTCTCTGTGTTTGATGCCCACCGGCTGAATTTAGAAAAGACAGCTGTCTCAGTTAGAAATAAGGTTTTGCATTTTATCAGACTAAAGGCATCTAGAGCCTTTAAAGGCAAAGCTTTCAAAAGCTGAAAAGGCTGAAAAAGATAAATACTCAAACTATTATGTATCTCTGGTTAAAAATGTTAAGTTATGACGGTTTGATTGCTTGAATGCAAAAAAATGTTAGTGTTTATTATGGAGAACTGTAATTGTTATACCATATGTAAAATGTCAGAGTCTTGGTATGTTTGTTCCTGTTTTTCTTGGTTTTCCATTTGTTGTCCTCTGCTGCCCTCTTGTGTCCTCCCTTGCTCTGTTTCTCTGTTCTGCCTGCACCTGTTGTCAATTCCCTCGTCAGCTCTCTCTTTGTATCTGTCCCCTTTAAAAGCCCTCCCTCTTCAGTTCCTGTTTGCTGGATCCTCGTCTTACTTCCCGTCTATCATCTGCATGCCCTGTCTTGTCTCTCCCTGGCTTCTGGTTTTGGTTAATCCCTGATGTCTGCTTGGTTCTGGTACGTTTGTAATTTTCAGTTGGACTCTGATTCCTGCTTCTGGATCTGTGAACCAAAATAAACAGACTTAAATTCACCTCTGCCTACTGGTCTCTGCGTTTGGGTCCTCCATACAAACATCGCTTCATGACATAAAATACGTTTTTAAGCTTTTATACACTTTTTGTACAAATTGTATTATCCACCATTTGTTTTCGTACAGTACATAAACATGATTCATGGCGTAAAGATAATTTTGGGTCAAAACAAAAACAGTTTTGCTTTTATTTATAAACATTGAAACTATGATATTTTTAATCGACATAATGCTACTTTCAGTCGATCCAATAAGTCCTCTAAAGAAGCTGCTCATTCAGAGAGCAAGAATATGAAAGATTTCTCAGGGGCTATTCAGAACAATAATTACAAAATAAAAAACTTCACAGCGCAATAAAAACATGTAATTCCTCTTAGTTAATTAATCACACAATACAAGCTCAGATGTAAAGAGTTTAACTGAAATGAAAACCTTTATGCGTCAGAAACAAAGGTACAGCGGTAGACAAAGATACACCAAAACTTTAAAGTAATTTTCCTGAAACCTGTTTTCAACCCTACTTCCTGCTAACTAAAACCTCAGGGGAAATTAGGCAGAAAACTACTACCTCAGAATGAACTGAGATGCTTGTTCTGACCCTTAATGACCCTACTGCAGCTATCTCATTTACAACGCGAGTACCGTCTGTGTCAGAAACCCCAATTTAACATTTATCTTTCTAACCGACATGCTATCAGACTAAGTATTTTCTACTGTCTAAGCACTGATCATCAGATCAGTAATGCTGCACCTGTGCATTTGTTCATGCTGGATTAGTGACCTCTGATTGGAGTGCAATTAAGCGTGAGGCAGAGACCACTGATTCATGAGCGGCTCTGAGCTTTCAGCTGGGAGAAATTTAAAGGTCTGACATACCTTAGGGCTCATATTGTCATATTGGCAACACTAGGTTACAACAGAAAAAAACACATATAACTGGCAGTTTCCATAACGCCAGCTTAACTGCAGACAGGCAGAGAAAGCAACACATTACTGTAAGCTACTATGAACATGGAGTAGTCCGCTGTTTTAAAGTTGTAAGTACATCTACAGTACATGAAGGGCTGTATCTTAGCAACAAACCTTTTGAAAAAAAAAGAAAATCATTTTGTGGGCTGTGGGGTGGCAGGGTAACCACAACTGAAACTACACAGACGTTCATTTTAATTTGAAACACGCTGCAAATGTGGTACAATGGCCTGTGGTGCTCTGGACTACTATTTAAAATAAATTCTTCTTCAGTCCTGCCTCATGTTGAAACTGTAGGCATAATTTCAGCTACTCACAAATCATAAGTGCCTTTTAACAGAAACACTTAGGTAATTAGAGGCTAACAAAAGAAGCATAGTTTAAGTGTTGCCATGATAAAAGATTAATGCTCATTTGAGCCATTAAGAAGGATTACTGGATTGAGAAGTGATAACATATCAGACCAGCATTACCCAAAGAGGTAGCACATCCGTATAACCAGTATTAATAGTGCCTCATACTTCTTCTCTACTAACTTCGCAGCCTGAATGGCTAGGACAGAAGTAGTCCATCTATCACTGGGAAATGCAGGCTCTGGACATGAAAGCCCTTCAACAAGGCCATTTCTTCTCCCTATAAATCATATTCATGACAATAGCAGGGCTATTACAGTTGTTAGCTTGATTTTGTGAGGTTTGCTTTCATGTCAGTATGGACCTTCACACTGCTTTGTTTCCCCCCCTAAATATTTATGTTCTTCTGTGTCCTTATGCCACTATTAAAGCTCAGTTTTAATCAGTTTTAATGCTCTTATAGCTTACGTAGTTTACATTACAAACATCATCAGTGATATTTGTTTGACCCGACGTTTCCAAAATGACTATTTTTTTGTTACTCCCCAGGGAAATGGCATAACTAAGTGGTTAAAAGTGTTTTATTTCTTTACCATCCAGAAGTAGGAGGCCTGAAGGATAGATTGTTATTTCCAAGATGTCACTCAAACTGCACCATCCCCCTACCATCAGCAACTCCATCACTATGATCAATCAGCAATAAAACATCTGTAAGAGGAGGGCCACAGTGGGGTTAAGACCTGAATTTCCTGAAATATTTTATGAGAACAGCCATCACTTGTGACCCTCAGAGCCTGACATCAGTAAGAGGGAGGGAGGGTGTATCTCTGCATTACCCTGCCATCCATCTCCAGGGTAACAGATTGCTGTATGGACTGATGGGAGACGGCAGTCTGTGTATCAGAACGTTGGTTTTAAGTCACCATATTCATCACGCTTCACACCATCAGTTTTGCAGATGACAGAAACTTTAGAAATAAGTAAAACACAGAAACATCAACAATGTTGTTGGACCTGGGTGTGTCAAATTGTTCATTGTCATTAAGATGTTCTGTTGATAGATCTGATGGTAGATTGGGCAGATTTATTAGGATAGATATGTGTAAGATAGGGCCTTGTCACTGGTGATGGAGTGGAGATGCAGGAGAGCTGATTAAAGGAGTTAGGCTGGAGTGGTGAAGGCGAAGGTGGGCTGCAGCTTGATTTTAAGGCAGATAAGACCACAATGAGGTGCTTAAAAAGATTCTTAGATGCTATTAGTTGCTGTTGGGTAACTCGACCACATTAAAAGAATATCTTCTTCTCCTCGGCAATGTCAGGACTCCTGCCTTTGTGTTTGTGTTTCTGTGTTTGTCTCCCTTCATCCACCAGGAGGCGCCTGGTTCTGGTCCGCCTCCTCACACACCTGCTTATGGTTTCCTCGTTAAACGGAGTGTTCTTAAGCTGCTGACTGCCACTACCTCGACGCCAGAGTGTTTGCCAGATTTGGGTACTCTAGCCAAGCTGAGTTTTGCTGAGTCAAACTGAGTTTTTGTCAACCTGAGTTTAACTTTGTTTTTATCTTTGCCTCTCGGCAGGAAGTCATCCTGCAAACTGGATTACTCTGACCTTCTCTTCC